ATTAATTCACGGATATGCTTTTAAACTTGACAATGTTGTTGCTGTTGTTGCTGATGATGATGTTGTTTATCGCTGCCGACCTCCGCCGCGTCATCTGGAGAACTACGCCTCTCTAATCGAGGCGTCCGTTGTGAACCCTGTGCGAGAGCAGGCACCTGCTGGCCTTCATCCAGCAGTGGGTAGAGGGTGGGTGATGATGATAGCGGTATGTGTTAACTACTTGTACTGTGCTCACCACGTCCAGGGTTTATCAAAAGGCCACGTCCTGGGCTTCTGTAAGGCAGAGTCCGGGTTTTTAAATCTACGTAGCGCACTTCACGTATATAAAGGAGGCTCATAGAGCTTTTACCCAAAATCAGAGACTGTAAGCAGAACTCTGCCCTGTCATTGTGTTGGCTTTCCAGACCAACATTTTTTAAAAGAGCAAACTCTCGATCGATTTCGATAATCTGGGTTTCATAAGCAGAATCACATCAAATTTTATTTTACAAATGACCAGTCTTGGTTTCCACAAGACACCATGCCTTGGATTTTTCTACTTGAGCCAAAGTCTTGGGGTTTTTTTTTTTACAGAGGCCATCAAAACAAATCTGATGTCTCTGGGTCCCAGGACCTGTCTTGCTGACAAAGCTCATCTCTGGTGTCCCCTCCCGAGTCGCGTGTTTGGTGGCATAACAAGGGCCCACAACTGGCTCTGCTGCAAGGAATAAAGAGGTTTGCGCAATATTAATATAGGCTTCCCCTTTACCGTGTTGGGAAGAAAAAAAACACAAAGCTATCCATATTCTCGGGGCTAAATTTCTCACTTTGAATTTTATTTTTCGGTTACCGGTAGACGGGGAGGTGGCTACGTGGCACAGTTGCCACAGCCAGAGGGAGAGGCCGGCACAATTGGATGTGGTGTGCCGGTTGCCGGCCCGGACAGACGAAGCTGAAACGGGCCCTGGCTACAGCCTTGGTCGCGACACGGCTCCCAATTTGAATTCTCGTTTACCAAGCGCCGCTTCTGCTTCTTGTCGCGGACGCCGATCGCCGTGCCGTCCACCGTGCGTGTCGCTTTGTGTCGCTCAGTTTTCATTCCGGGGGCTGATGGTCATTTCAGGGCACCGAGCCACACACCACTGAGGCAATAGGTTCAAGCCCAGGGGCAGGTTGTCTCCCATGGACGGATACCTTTGTCAGAGACACGAAACTTGCAACCTCGAGAGCTTTGGGCACAAGACCTGGGACTGGGTGTTCTCATGGCGCATGAATAATAACAATAACCGAATCAGAAAAAAATGACCCAAAACCTCCGAGATTCCAGGTTCCATTCCTGAAGCTGGGCGTCTCTCATGCAATGCATTTCTGTGTCAAGGACAATGAACGAGTAACGTCTGTGGTTAAAGGTTGACGCCCTGGGGTTGGGTGTCTCTCATGAAGCTATTGGCCATGGCAGAGACACCAAACCTGTAACCTTTTGAGGGTACAGGTTCAAGCCCAGGGAATGGGTGTCTGTCAGCTCTTTTGGTGTCTTTATGACTCAGCTTCCTGGGGTTCAGTGCGAGTTGTTTAATTATTTAAAAATGTCGATTTGCCTGCAATGTATTGTGTGTTCGCTGTTCCCACCCGAGCATGGGCTATTTGTATTCACGCGCACTTATTAATGAGCGTCAATAAAATGAACAGCCTCATATCTGTCTGCGCTGTCACTGTCTTCAATGACGTTCGTACGCGTGCATGTTTGATGTTTACAGGCCTTTGGTTATCCACTGCTGTATGAAGGCCTCCCCTGTGCCACGTCAGTCGTGAATGATGGTGCCGCGATGGCGAGATGTTATGCAGGAGATCGTGGGTTTGATCCCAATCCTGACGCCGGTATATTTGGTGGCATGGATTTTTCTCCAATTCCTTTGGGTTTTCCCTCCACATTTAGGAACATGCGTTTAGAGTATTTGGCTGCGATACATTTTTACATGATAAGCCATTTCGTTGAGCTATCATTTGTGGCCAGGTCGCTTCTGAAAAAAAACTATCGTGGGCCTTACCTGATAAGATAAAATAGTACAGTAGTATAGTTAAGTTTTGACCATACTTCGCCACACTGGTCAGTGCGGGTTTGTGAAGAAGGGGGAGCCCAAGGCCCACCTTAGACATAATTCGCAACTGATGTTTGCCGTGACTGTCAATCAAACTCAGGTCACCAGATTCATGGTCTAGCGTGCTAACCGCTTCCCAAGGGTTGCACACACAGGTAGCAAAACACACATCATGTGCTGCCGTGTAGGTTTATAGGTAATCCTATAATAGACACCTAAATATATAGGTAAATGTTTTGTTTGTCCACATACAAAAAAATGCAACATTGCAGTCCACCACATTTTAGCCCTTCAGGAGAAATGTGTCCCAGATGCATTCGTTTAAACACTTCCCGTGGACCGGTTTCCACTTTTCAACGTCTCATCAGCAGTGTTAAGCCGATAAAACAAATGCTGCTCTGTTGCCATTCGTGCAAAAGGCCAATAAGCTGGTGGAGAAAAATAGTTTAAATAAAAATACTTATCCTTTATTATCGATAATTATTACTCGTAATCTTCCGTGACTGGGAAAAATGAGCTTCTGTAAAGAAGCTTACAGTTTTACATTAAATAGGTCCCAAAATGCTCACTTAGGGCTCGTGCCGATAATACCTCTGGCAAGCCGGCAGAAATCTTCCACAAAATGACTTCATCGTCGAATTAGATATTGGGGAACTCAAAAATTGTCCCTCGTTCAAGCGTCTCGGTTGTCACGTATTTCTTCAGGGGCGTCTCAATGAGTCTCAAGAATACCTCCCAGAGGGATTAAGCATGGGGATGTTTGGCCAATTCCATGAATGAGAGCTTGGCTTCAAGCCGGGAGGAAACCAGAGAGAACCCGGTGGAAATGCACGCTAAATACCAGGATGATGGGCAAAGGTTGAGCGAACCGACTTGTTGCACTGTCATCTGCCGAGTGCCTCGCAACCCAGATGATCTTGGAGTTTCGCAAATCTCGGTGATACAATAATTTAATGCACAGCCTTCAAAACGCACTAGGACAAACGATCCCGTGTTCTAGGTTTTGGCGAATGCTGTTAACCGCCTTTGCCTCTTAATTGTAATTGACTAAGTTCACACAGTGCCCTGCTAAAACGAGTTATGCATGGTGTAGCACTCATCCTTTACCCGGTGGTGGGCACAGCACCAAGGGTCAGGTGGCTTCACATGGGCAAACACTTGGGCAAAGCCTTTGCCTTCGGAGTCCAAAAGCCAACCATTGTCTCCTGTTGTTTCATTCCTGCGACGTTGACAAGATAGCCGCTTCGCTAGCTGTCAGTTTTAACCCCCAGAGAGGTGGCGAACCCAGCTATTGGCGTTCTGAGACGTGTATCGTAGTGGTATCATTGTGACATATCACCAGGCCATAATTCTTACCGATCATTTTTTCTGGGTCAGTAGCAGACTACAACAAGCACGTGACTCATAGCCATATCCATAGCGAGATGTATACTGGATGCGGTGTACCGCGGAGACCAAGCTGAAATTATATCAAACACATATAAAGATGGCATGCGTATCTAATTCACGATGTCAATTGCGGTGTGATATCGGTATCACCAATATAATCCTGTTCTATCCAGTTCTTCTGGAATTGCCAAGGGCATAGAATGTTCCATCGGTGGAGGGCGGGGAACGCTGTTGCTATGGAAGTAAAGAACATTTGCCACAAACCCATGAACAGAGATCAGGATCGCTCGCTCGCACCCCCAATCTACAGTTCACGTGAAGTATAAACAGCAGCAGCAGCAGCAGGGTCAACAAGTCATAAATACTGTGCCATGGCTAACAACACAACCTGCCTGTCTGCCTAAGGCACTCAAATATTAACTCAAAATATAAACATGTCCCGTGCTGCAACAGGAGAGCCGTGGATCCCTTGCGTACTTGCCAACGTCACCGATGTTAAGGCGCAGGCTGCCGATTTCTTTTTAAACTCAAATGACTGTGTGCAGATTTTTAAAAGCGAATAGTGCACCAAAAAGGATTTGATTTAAGACATTGCTTTTTATGCAGCGGTTGCGATTAGCTTTGAAAACCAGGTGGTAAAAGGATTTAGAAATCGGCAGCCTACCGCTTAAATCAGCTGCGCTGGTAAGTACACGCCTCCTTCATGTGGCTATGTGCGGAGACAAAAAGTGGAATTAACTTCGCACCACCGATGCGATAGATCAGCAGCATTAATACACACGACTCCGCGTCGATCCCTACTCTCTACGGCTCGGATAGCCATCCACGGACCTCGGCAGTGGTGCCTCCACGATTTTGGATTCTTAGGCAGTGCAGCAGCAAGTGGCAAAGTGGCGGGGAGAATGTGCTCACTGAAGGATTACGTGGGTGCTGAACATCAATGCAGGAAAATCAGCAGCAGCAGCAGCAGGATCACTGGGGATCTCCAGGGATATGCCACAATGTGAGGATGATTCATATAGCTCAGCTGGACATTGCAGATTTTCCCTAAATGCCTTTTCTCACTATTTGCCTATTCTTCCTGCTCCTTGAGTCAAAAAGTTCTGTGATGATTTAACACTGAGTCACGAGCTCTATTTTAAGCCATGAATCAATAAGCCCTCAAAAGGCGGTTAGAACTCGCCAGCCAAATGTCCCGACACATCCAGACATCATCGCCACCTACACGTGCAGTGGGTGCGTGCGTGCGCACAGTGCACGCGAAAAAGCCAACACGCGCCAAACACGAGCCGACACGAGCCAGCTAAAATCAGCAAAAGGTTTATTTCATGTTGTTCGTGGGGCTGCAAAGGCGTCAACAGATTCTTGTAGCCATCTGTCTTTTTATAATCAATTCTTCCCTTTGATTTTAAATGGAAAAAACGAAGTTCGCGGTGATAACGTAAAACACTCCACCACACCTGCTCCCCCCCCCCAGGTGCTGCTCCCCTCCCGCCCCCTGACCACCACCACGCAGCTTCTCCCCCTAAACTCCCCCAACACCTGCCCTACCCCCTATCAAAGACAAAGATCCCCCCTTTAGCCTCATAGGCCGCTGGGGAAAGTGCTATTAGTGAGCACCTATTAAGGCTGGCACAGTGGCACACGATGGGGTGGTGTGACCAGCACCACACTCGCCCAGCCGCCGCCCGGTACCTCCCCGCTTTCCAGTGATGTTGACCGCACACCGCGCCGGCTCGGTAACCATTTTTGGCTTAGATGACCAAGCGGGAGGTTCAGGCCTGTTTCAAAAAACCGATCTTGCCACCAGTGACAACCACTCGCACCGTTGGTCGGGAATCGAACCCCGGGTCGACGGGATCACAGCACAAGTGCGCTCACTAACAACCACTGGGACAGCGCCCCTCACAACACTCGCACTGCCACGCGCATACACACACAGTCATGCCGCACACCACACACGGACGACGCTTGCCGGCGACGGCGGGGGGGGGGGGGAGACGCTTGTAAGTGGGAGGCCGCGAAACCCTTGATAAACAAATCACCCAACACACGAGTAACGCATTCCCTTAAACAATATTAATGATAATGAACGGCGCCACCCCACGAGCTGGGTATTGCCCTGCAGCTAGGTGCGGCCCACAGTGGCCACCTTTCCCGGCTCAAAACTGTGGCATTCAGCCAGAACAAGCATTCAATAATAATTATAACAATAATGATCATACAGTAATAAGAATAATGACAATAAATATAATAAATATATGTTAATTTCTTAATCAAAAGCCACGTCTTTTCGGATGAAGATTGCGGGTGTCACGGAACAGGAGGGAGACTGGCTTTGGGCCAGAGTGGCTCTTGGTTGAGACCACGCTAAGACCAGGCCTAGACGATGAAAACCAGAATGGGTCAAGGTTTAGACTGCGTTGACGCCACGATGGAACCAAGGTTATGTCAGAATGGCTCCGGGTTTAGAATGGGTTGAGACCAGTCTGAGACCGGGGTTCAACCCGTGAATGGTTCCGAGTTGAAACCGTGTCGAGAACGAACCAGCTGAGATTGAGTTGGCGACCAGGCAGGGAGAGAGCTGAGGACCAGCACGAGATGAGATTGAAGCTGCTTAACAAGAGCGTCGCTCGCTAACTGTGGTTTATGGTCGACGTGGCTCGACGGTGCCTCTGCTGGACAGAGGTTCCAAGATCCTCCCTCGCCCGACACCGACCACCGGCACCACTTCCCGGTGCCGTCACAATCTCGGCAGCAGTCGCCCGCTCGCTCACACGTCGCCCACCCGCCTTTCCACTCGCTCGCTCGCTCACACGAGAGTGTACGACTTGGGGTAGGCCTGCGCTCTGGTGCCCAAGGGCCCTCCTGCCTCGCCTAGAAGGGAGTCCCGCGACGCTGAGCTGACGGGAGGCAGAGAAACTAGCTGAGGCTGCATGATGGGCACCGCCGCCTGCTGTTGCTGTTGCTGCTGCTGATGCTGTTGCTGCTGCTGTTGCTGCTGTTGCTGCTGCTGCTGCTGCAGGGTGGTGGTCGGTGGAGCCTGCGGCATGGGCTGGGGCCGAGGAGGGCCACATGAGCGACGTGGTGCGGGCTGGAAGGGTCGGGTTGTGGACGCGGGTGTGGCGACGCCATGCGGCGTGTCCACCTTCAGGTAGAGAGGCAGGTTACAGTATTCGCCTAGGAGACGTGCGGAGGAGGAGGGGCAGCGAGAGGGGCCGAGGGGTCACAGGCATCAGAGAGACGATCGCACAAACCACAAAACATTCGAAACCAACATTTTGAGGCGTTGGCCAAGTGATCCTAGGTTACAATTCAGGTGTCAGCCATCTGCGATAAATCTGCATTCTCAAGTGTAGTGAGTTTATGGTCGTAGCCCAATCACCAAGGACTGCACAAAAAAATTATTCCATTCAATTTGGATTTACACTTCATTTGGCAAACTTCAGCTCTGATAATGAAACACGTTAGTTTTGACTCTCGTGCAATGAACAACTCTGCAGTAGGTCGAGTAGGAAAGTGCTGCCCAGTGCTGTGTGGACTAGAGACGACTTGGAAAGATCTCAAGAGGCGGCACCGTGACATGCGCTTCTGTGGGCTGTTCTCCGACGCAAGGGGTTGCACTGGTCTGTGAAAAATCCGAATGAATTCTTCATCTCATTACATGAAACCCAATGCATAATTAGCAAACATATAAAATGTAACATTCAACATTGAGTACAGTATACTCAGGACAGATACATTTTGAGGTCAATCACACAAACATGACCACACTTGATTTGAAGCTTTCGTGACTGCAGGAATTCATACTCTTTGGTTCTATTTGTAAAGTCACGTAGATAAAAAAATAACTAATAAATCACGACGTTTCGATAGCAACACAAGCCATCGTCTTCAGGTGAAACAACACAGCAGGCGGACTGCTAAGGCAGGAGGAAATGTAGCGAGAGAGACGCCGCAAACCAGAGGCCACATACGCCTGTGGTGGGTACAACCCAAGGGCAAGTGGGCGGGGCTAAGGATGAAATTTGCAAGTCAATGCAAGATCGCAGCACTAGCACACCTCGGCCAATCCGAGGGGGGGAGGGAGGGAGGGGAGGGGGAGGGGCCGCCTGCTGTGTTGTTTCATCTGAAGACGATGGCTTGTGTTGCTATTGAAGCGTCGTGATTTATTATTTTTCTATCTACGTGACTTTACCGAAAGAACCAAAGGGTACGGCCACACTTGCACAAGAGAAATGGTCAATGGTAGGCATTAAGTGGCAGCAGCACCACAACACCTTTTGTGCCAGGCTAGGTGCACTCCGAGGCCATGTGGAGTGGGATAAAGGCTTGTTGGCAGGAGGCACGCATGACAAACCCAGGTGTTAACCTTTAAAAGATCAGGGTGACCTGCAGATGAACCGCTTGTATTCCCCACTGTGCCAACTCATGCATTCCCTCCCACCACCCACCCCCAATGCTGTCTTTGTTACTTTGAGCACCGCTGCGTTGCTCCTCTGCCACCTGCGTTGCTAGAGAACAGCTGTTGGCAGCCGCCCAGTGGCATCATTCACGAGACTCCCCAGACGCCGTCACTGGCATCACAGCAAGAAATCAAACCCGGGGCCGTGGATTTCCACTGGAATTGGGTGGCACAACGCCCGAGTCCACGTATCGTTACACAATGTCAAGCGCACGCGCGCGTTAACCGTCGGCAGCCCTGGAAACGCTCGTCGCCGTCTCACCGGCGCGGTGCGGCACAGGAACGGAGATGGCGCTGCCGCTGGTGCGGAGCGTGGGCCCCCCACAGGTGCCGCCACCCCCACCGGGGCCCCCTCGCGTCACCGGCAGCAGCGAGGGCGGCGATGCCGTGAAGCGACAGATTCCCGACTCGGAGCCGGACGTGGAGCCCGACAGAGGCGTCTCCCTGATGCGTGGGCGGAGGAGGGAGATGGGAGAGCTCTGAGATTACAACTTTGATGAGGTTCGTTTCTCTTTTCGTGACGAATGTACAATCGGCGTAGGCGCCGGGCGGCGATGCGCTTTCCCACAAGCCCTCCTTGTCGCACGTGGTGATGGTACTGATATTCTTGATTCTGTTAGCTGCTAGGAAATTTTGCCAAATTAAGTGAGAAAACAAACTCAACGTCATGTTAACACGAAGGTTTTTCGCAGCCAACATCACGATTCCCAATAGCTTTTTGGGCCAGGCCAAATTTGGTCAGATCAAAACATGGCTACAATTAACAACAGCACAAACTCTACACGCCGTGCTAGACCGGGACCAATATCATCGTGAAGTCGCACACGCCGTTAGGCAGCACTAAAGAAGAAGAAGAAAAATCTTTATATAGACTGGAGGAATCCGATGAGCTATGAAGCTCTTTTTCACAAATGTGCAATGAAAAAGAACTTCATAGCTCATCGGTTCATCCTATGGCCTAACCCAAACATCTATAATTACTTTTCACGGCACGGTTCATTCTTTCACTCTATGATCGTAAGCAGGAGGCACCACCACCTAATATGATGGGGGGGGGGAGGCTCCCATGTCCACACCCTCAATGTGAAATTGCATGCGTGGGATGAGACTAAGAGCAATGACTGAGCCTTAGAGGTCACGAGGTGTCGACTGTGCAATAGCTGCGAGAACTGGCAGAAGGAAGCAATGGTGAGCGAGGCCGGGTGGCATTAACAACACTGGCTGTGATGACCTCTTTAACTTGAACTTGAATGCCGCGTTCTCCATGATGTTCAATACAATTTGAATATCATGAACAAAAAGAATAGAAAAACATTGATTGTTACGCAGATGAGGTCTTCCCCAATGGAATCGCTGCTGCTCTGACCTTTGCTTTCACCCATCTACCCTCTCCCTTCCCCTCTCCTCTACCCCCCCCCCCTCACCCGGCAAGTCCCGTGGCCGTCGCGTCTGCACCGCCTCCCTGTGGCGGCTGCTGCCCATGCTGCTGCTTCTGCAGGTGGCAGCCGGACAGTGTCTGAGCCTGCAACGGTGTAGCGATGGGGGTGTAGGGTCAGAGGTCAATGACAGCAAGGGGGGTTAAAGGTCAATCAGAGGTCGACAGGCACTCCAGTCAGAGCGCTCCAGCTATGTCATCGTTTTCACAAAACCACTGTAATCGCACACTTGACTGAAACATCAAAGTCTTTTAATCTCATTAACACAGCTTCAAACTCGGATTAAGCAGCCTGGGGCACAGAGTCTCGGTTTTGTGCCAATAAAATTAAAGATGGGCCTTTCACAGCTACTGAAATACATGATTGGTTTTCCCATGATGCAACTATTCCATTCCATTTGATCTTCTCAATTTAAAACAGTTTGCACATGTTTTTGTTTTCCAATAACAGTTCTGTTGTTACCTATGAACTCCATAATACAGGTTTTTTTGGGATAGATCGCGTAAATATATAGATGTGTCATTAAACCCGCCACTACCAAACAGCAAATTAGTAAGGTTTGTTACATAAACAGAACATGCCAATTCGTTACTAGTGTAGTGTTAATGAATGGAGCCCCAGTCTTCTTCTGGAGGCAACACGTTTATTTAACAGTAATAACTAGAACACGAGGTCCCTAGCACAAAGGCGTGTCGGCCCCTTCACCCGATACCCTGAGGATGTATAACCTCGGGGCGAGCGTGTCCTACTCACTGGGACCACTTCCTCTAGATATCAGCCCTCCGGCTCGGGCCACCTAGGAGAGGCTAGCTGACCCAACCCAGCCAAGGTCATCGGGTCCCAGCCACTGGCCCACTCAGTCCCGGCCCTCAGAAGGACGGCGGGTCCGGGGGTTCCCAGGGTCCTATGCTAGGCCGGCTCTTCGGGTCTTCAGCTTGACTACTGGCAAACCCGTTCAGGGTCCGCCTTATATACAGTGATCCCTCGTTTATCGCGGTTAATGGGGACCGGAACCCCTCGCGATAGGTAAAAATCCGCGAAGTAGGATTGGCCCCCCTAGGAATTTCCGTATATGTGTGTGTGGGTACCAGAATGTTTAAAATATGTATATTTATACTTTATATATATTTTACTTAAATCTATTTCATTATAAAACCTTAATATTATACATTCACTCTCTCTCTCATACGATACGTATTATGGTGTTCTACACTAACCAATGACAGTAGTATCTTGAGACTTGACTCCAGTAATGACGACGATGACAATGACGATGACAATGACGACGATGACAGACCTGTGCAGTTCGATGAATGTGATGATGAATGATGATGATGATGGTGTTACTGCACAGGTATAATGAGGCCTTTAAATCAGTTCGAAAAATCCGCGATGCACTGAGGCCGCGAAACTTGAACCGCAAAGTGGCGAGGGATTACTGTACAGCTCCCAGGGTCACTCTGCCCCTGGCCACCCCTACTCTCTGGAACCTTCTGGAGGGACCTGGACTATTGCGCAATCCCCCAGCCCCCACTGGGGGCCTGGGGTGTGTATCTCCGGTTCCCAACCACCCTCTGGGTTCCCTGGCCGAATGGTGTTACTTGATACAGGCCGTACTCGCTGTTGCCCCCTGTTGACCCGTGACTGGCGCTACACCAGGTAAGTAGCGGTGACCGCGTATAGCGCTATCAACACCCACTACACTAGTGCAGCACACAGGTGTGTTGGCGGGTTTAACGACACATTTATATGTTTACACGATCTAACCCAAAAAAATCTGTATTATGAATATTGGTCACAAAAGCCTACTTATTAAACTACCTATGAACTTCGATTTAAAGCCTTCGTGACTGCAGGGTTTCATATTCTTGGTTCTTTCGGTAAAGTCACGTAGAAGGGAAATAATAGAAATACAACAATTAAATTCTCACGACGTTTCGATTGCAATACAAGCAATCATCATCAGGTGTGAAAACCACAGCAAGAAATGTTTTGAAAAAGTGGCGTTTTTTTCTTAACGTTAGCACCACGGACAGCGACTGGCGGTTGTTCAGACGGGCGAGTCCATCTATGCTCGGAACGGAGGAGGGGGGAGAGAAAGAGAATGGAATGCGGTCTGGTCTGAAAGTTACCGTAAACGTGAACACAATCAATCAAGACCCGAAATGGTTTATCACATCCTTCCAATGATTTCCAAGCCAGAATCCATCTTCTCGGTTGAAATTGTCTCTGTGTTTGTATATGTGGATGGCCTCATCCACAGGATGTGATAAACCATTTCGGGTTTTGATTGATTGTGTTCACGTTTACGGTGACTTTCAGACCGCATTCCATTCTCCTTATCTCCCCCCTCCTCCATTCCGAGCATAGATGGAATCGTCCGTATGAACAACCGCCAGTCGCTGTCCGTGGTGCTAACGTTAAGAAAAAAACACCACTTTTTTCTAAAATGTTCTTGCTGTGGTTTTCACACCTGATGATGATTGCTTGTGTTGCAATTGAAACGTCGTGAGAATCGTATTGTTTTATTTTTATTATTTTATTATTTCCCTTCTACGTGACTTTAACCGAAAGAAGCAAGAATACCTATGAACTGTTCAATTCTAAAACTTTTCGGTTGCCAACTTTATTAAAATCCCCAGGTACCCCCCCCCCCCACTACCAAGTCCCGCTGTGGCGTCGGTACCACCCCTCAAAACATTTGAGCCACCAGCTGCCACTGCTCGCTTTGTTACCGACAATTCAGCCCCCCATTTGTGCAGCACCCCCCCCCCCCCCACCTCAAGAGGGGGGCCTGGGGAGAACGCCCCACCCCCCTGCCCACCCAACCCTGGCGACGGTACGACCCAAATCTGTGCCCTCTTCCCCACCGCGTGCGTAAAGATGCCCCGTATAGCCTTCACATATTCTTGGAGCAAGTGCTGGTAAGGAGCACCTATGAAGGCCGGAACGGCACAATAGGGGGTGGGTGGCCAGAACCACGCCCGGCCACCTTTGTCTACCTAGTGGCGATGTTTACGCATTGCACCAGGTAGTCATTTGAGGCTGAGTCGACCTAGGGGATCCCCAGGACTGCTTCAAATTATTATTACTGGTGTTGGCTGTGAGCTGGAAATCGAACTCGGGTCACCGAGTTTGTAGCGCAGCGCGCTAATCGCTCCACTACCGCTTCCCATGCACGCACGTACACACGCACACAGGCACACGCGCACGCCACGACGCCGTCACCACTGCCGCGACCTCGGCGTTCACCTGCGGCGGCGGCGGTGGCGCCGGCAGCGGTGAGGAGGAGGCCCGCGAGGACGAGCGATCGCTCACGAAGCACTCGGTGATCTGGAAGGTGGCGTCGCGAAGCTGCTCCTCCATGCGCGCGTGCTCGTAGGCGCGCGCCAGCTCCTCATACGTGGACGACGCGCTCTCCGACACCAGGCTGCTGCGGCCCTTGTCTGGCGGTAGGATTGGGGGGTTTACCCACAGTGCCAGTGGGAGTTGGCAGAAGGGGGGGAGGGTGCTCGTGTTAATGCGAGATGGTCACCGCCACGGTGCTGCCAGGGCTCGCGTTCTTACTCGAGGCGTTGTATGGACTCCCTAGTGCAGCGGTGGCCAACTGGCGTCTCCCGAGCCGCACGCGGCTATTTAATCCGCCACACGTGGCTCTATCGAAGGGGCATGACGGTCGCAGGGAATAATAAATGTCTCCCGTGCTGTGCCAAAAACTGAATTATACACACACTTATATGTACACTTTGCTCTTTGTAGAACTCATGAGGTACTCTTTGGCTCTTGGTCTGATACACGTTGGCCACCGCTACCCTAGCATGTACCTTTATTGAGTCTCAATACACCCTCATCTGGCGTCCCGTGGTTGACAGCGGTCATCTGGTCTCCGTACATAGAGAATGCCCACCTGGTCTCTGTCTGCCTGTGACCATATCACTCAGAATGTGCCCGAAAAATTGTCAGAGCTAAGGCAAGCCAGGATCTAATCTAAGCAGGAAGGTTGAACCCGGACAGTGCTTGGATGGACAACCATCACGCGCGCAGCTTGTGATCAGCTCCAGACTAAGGGGTGACATGGTGAGCAGCAGAGGGTAGTGATTTAAACGCCATTGCTGTCCTGTACTCCTGCGGCTACTTTCACCGCATCCATGACTCACACCGACCAGTGAGGTGAAGGTCAAACAAACCCCTATGACCTGCACAACAAGAGGAGGCCCTCATCCAGTCGGGAACTGACAGAAGAGCTGTCCCATCTCGGCATTGCTATTGGTTACCTGACCATGCTGTTTCTTCCTTGCTCTCGTGGTAAATGTATTTCTATAACCTCACCAAGCATACCTCTCTGATTTCTGCAGCTGCTGCTCTTTCGACCGCAAGGGGTATGGGCGTTGCTGGTAATGTGGCTTAGATCTTAGCGGGAGGCGCTCTCCCATCACGTGGGGTGGACCCCGTTACGGCTCACACTGGCCGACTCCACCATTGTTCTCATGGTGGGGGGGGGGGGCTTCTGAGAATCAATTTCACTCGGCTTTGATTTAACCGTGCACGTGGCTACCCACCCTTGCTATATATATAATCCTCATCTGGTCCCTCTCTTAAAGTTATTGATCTCGTCTCTCTGGATCTGCCGGCCTTTGCCGTCGGCTCCAGCACCTTCGCGTCCTCACCCGTGTCCTGCGACGGCGTCACGCTGTGGCTGTCACTCTCCCCCGCGGCGGCGCCACCCCCGCCATGCCCAGCACCGCCCCCGACACCAACGCTGCCGCCGCCGCCAATGCCACCACCGTGTGGAGTGTGGCCCCGGCTCAGCGTGGTGCCCAGCGTCCACTGACTCACGCAGCGCGGGCGAACCACACCGCCTCGCCTCGCCGACGGGTCTGCCAGGCACGAGGCACACGCGCGCGCAGGCATGAGTACGCGGGCGGGCATGCGGGCGCAAAAGCGCCTGAGGGCACCATCGCAGTAATTCTGGATGGACGATGGTCTGAAATTCCCAATGTCCTCTCCTCTTCTTGTAAAATCATTCACATTCAGCCTCAAATAGTCACTCAACGTGTGTTGCTTTGTGACTCTATGGTAACAGAGAGGCAGTTGCGGCAAGCGGTCAGTCTCTCTCCGTTAAAATGTTTTGCCCGCCTCCTCGGTCACACCCTCTCAAAAATACAACCTCACGTTTCAGCAAATTTGTTTAACAGATTGTAGTTTTGCTGCTGCCCCTCTTTGCACTGCTTTTGCGTCTCGAACTATGAGCATAATGTCAGATGACCATCGTTCAATTTACCCGTGGTAATGCTATGATGATGACGACGATAGTAGAATGATAGTTTACATTTAACTTTTTTTTTTATCAAGTGGCGCTCACTCGTGGAAGGTCTCGCACCCATGGCACATGCATCCATTCCCCCGGCGCCACCGCCGACTCCACTGCCGCCGCCACCGCCGCCACTGACGCCACCGACACCACCGCTGGCTCCCCCGTGCAGCCTGGGCAGCGTGTGATGCGCGCTGGCGTTCGCGTGCGAGCACCGCCGGGCCCTCGTGCCCAGGAACACCCCGCCACCTCCTCCGCTGCCCACGCCGCCCCCGATGCCCCCGACGCCCCCGACACCGATCCCCCCGCCGGCTCCCAGCGCGGGCCCCAGCGCCGAGGAGGAGGACGACGAGGAAAGGGTGCAGCCCACCGCCTTCACCCCGGACGACGACGCCGCCGCAGCCGCCGTGAGGGTGCCAGCCGAGGCGGAGGGGGCCCCGGGCCCCCCGCCCGAGGACGGCGTCAGGGTCAGGGACGTGCCCAGCACCGACTTGACCCCTTTAGCGAGTAGGGGGCATGGGTGGGAAAGTGAGGTGGGGTGGGAAAGTGACGTGGGGAGGGCGGGAGGAGGTCGGCATGGATGGGGAAGGCGGGAGTGAAAGACAGAGTGTCACATGTCACTCTGGGTGAGCAATGAAACATCCACGAGGTTGTTCACTTGCAAAGCGTTCTAAACATGAACACAAACCACCATCATGAAACTGGCTCGACAGCATTAGCAATCATTGTGACTCCGTGGTAAAGGGTTGGCCGTGCAGGGGGGTTGGCTGGATGTTATAGTGGTGCAGTGTGGTTGGATCGAGTGGGCCGTGGTAGAAATGTGGTGGGAAGTGGCGTGGTGTGGATTAGTGTGGTAAGGGCGAAGTGTGGTTGAATGTGATGGCTGTGCATGAAGGATCACAGTGGATTCATAGTGGTGTGGTGTGACTGCGTGTGGTGACAGCAGTAGTTTCTTTGGTTGTATGTAGTAATGGTGTGGTGTGCCTGAACGTGGTCGTTATTTAATTGCTGCTGTGTGGTTGTACACAATGGTGGAGAGTGGTGGAGCGTGACGGAGTGTGGTGGAGCGTGGCGGAGCATGGAATTTTGGCAACCGGTGTGTTGTCACTGTGCGGTGTGGCTAACTTGATACAGCAAGATGGAGCGTGGGGGAGCGTGGGGGAGCGTGGGGGAGCGTGATGGAGCGTGGCAGAGCGTGATGGAACTTGGTCGAGCGTGATGGAGCGTGGTCGAGTGTGATGGAACGTGGATGAGCGTGATGGAACGTGGGGGAGCGTGATGGAGCATGGCGGAGTGTGATGGAGCGTGGTGGAACGTGATGGAGCGTGGTGTGGTAGCTGGAATAGTGTTCGGCCAGTGTGTCGTCACTGTGCGGTGCAGTTAGGGTGGTGGCGATGGTGTCCACGGGGTGGCGCCGCTCACCGCGCGACGGTGAAAGCGATGGCTCCAGCGCGGAGGCGGAGGCGGCCGAGCCGAGGCCGCAGGGGAACGGCTCAGGCCGCGACGCAAAATCTCCGTCGCCCAGCAGCACCGTTGCATTGTCGTCCACGTCTACGCAGCACGACACACGCGACACCAACACACGCGATACACGTGTCGTCACGTACCCAGACATTGTGTGCGGCGATGTTGCGCGTCGTCGTGTTGCGGCGTGTACCCAGGCGCTCCGTGCTGCCCTTGTCGTCGATAAGGAGCTGCGCGCGGGGGACGTCCACGTGAACGCGTGGGGTCTGGGGCTGCCACTTGGGGGGGTCCCCGGCCCGGGAGCTCTTACTGGGGGTACAGCACGCGGGGACGGCACGTACAGCATGCACGGTACACGCAGCACACACAGTACGCACGCAGCACGCGCACAGGGGGACACGCGACACACAGCACAGAATACGCAAGACAAGGCGGGGGGGGGGGGAGAAACAGCACACACAGCACACACGCAGTACACACAGCGCACCACACAAAACACACGGTACAAGAGGAACATGCAGCATGCACAGCACGCACACAGTACGCATGATACACAGCAGGCAGCGTACACGCAGACCGCACAGCATATCCACAGTGCGCAGCGCATACACAGTACACGCAGCACGCGGGGTATACAACACAGCACAGTCCACGCAACACAGCACAGGTCAAACCACACAAGGACGAAGGGTCGTCACATACAGCACCCACAAGACACACACGCACACACACGCATCAGGCACGGCACTCATGAGGCACGTACAGCACACATCACGCACAGCGTGTACAGAAATTACACGCGGCAAATACAGGACGGCGCACAGCACGCACAGCGCACACAAGCCACACAGCACACACGAGACACACACGGCACACACAGCACAAAGGATTAATATGTGCAGTACACATGCACGTTTTTTCCACACAACGCAGAGGCACAGGATAAGCAAAGCACATTCAGAGTGGCTGAGGCATGCAGTGTGCAGTAAGAGGGGCCCAGCCACTCCTGTCGCATGTGCACATCATGCGCGAGCGCACACACGTGCACACGCGCACGCATGAACATGCAATTACATCGGTGCCTGTGTGTTAATGTATAATACAGCAGTAACATGGCACCGCGTATATATATACACACACTTCAGTATTTCTGACATGTGTATATATATGTGCACATACACAAATAGATAAGCGGTCCAAATTACTCATCACATGTCAAAAGCTAAGCAGAGTTGAGCCTGGATAAGTGCTGACCCCCGCTGCCTACGTTGTGGGCAGCAGGGGTCACTGCAGTAAAATGCATTGTTGTACTGTGCTTCTATGCTCCCCGCCTTCACCAACTCACACTGGCCAGCGTGGTGAAGTATAGTCAAATAACCCCCACGACTCGCACCGCGCAGGCAGGACCTCATCCAGCAGTGGACTGACAAAGGGCTGTACATGTCCATATGCAGTGCAAATAAGCTGCATAGCTGATACATTAAGCTCGTTGTCAGTGACTGACAAAAATTCGAATGAAATTCTACAAAGGCTTGTAAGCTGAACTTTGGCACAAATACAGCCGAGTCTTTGCTTAAATATTAGAAAAATCCAAGACAGAGAGAAAAACGTCTATTTTGGGTAGGTGAAGTATGGTCAAATAAGCCCCACGATCCACACAGGCATGGGGAGGAGGCCCTAATCCTGCAGTGGCTTCAGGTTTTAAGTAAATTTTCCCAAACCAGCTGAAAACTCAACAGACCAGCATAGTCTCATTTGCAAGAGTGCTCTGGGGTATGAATCTGCCAGGTGTAGGCAACGATTGTTGTGTATAATGCCAATTGAGTCATTTGCGGCTAAAACTTCCGAATTTGGACCCTGACGCAGCACACAATGGCCTACTCTTGCGAGTGACGTCAAGGGGGTCTTTAACGTTTGCTGTGAGGCTGACGCCACTGAGACTCGCAGTAATAACCAAGAGCGGTCGCCGGATTTCAACCGTGAACTTCTGCAACAAGTGTCGAACGCGCTACCATTGGGCTGCGTCATCGCCCGGCTTGACACAAAGTACGACAAATGTAGACGTACAACACATATGCGTACTGCACACAGGTGAACCGCATACATTCGGAAATGTGTAACAAAGAGAAGGTGGAATTAGCGCCTGTGCATTGCTGGTTGGTGCGTAAAGGATTTTGCCAAAGCGTAGTGATGAACACTCACCTCATCAGCATTTCCGCAAGACTTTTGGCATCTTTAATGAACAGATAATTCAATAAAGATAGCAGCAAACAAAGGTGTGATGCGGGTAAACACAATGAGAGCACGATGGCGGTGACACAAAGGGCAGGTAAAGGGAGACACAAAAGCGTCGCACAACAGATGAGAGTGAAGAGGCAATGCAACCTCAAGATAATGGAACACAAACGAGTCCAAAGAGGGGACAGCGGATACATTTATTGATGGATTAATACACGATAAGTGACAACAGATATATATACGATTGTCTCCGTACAAAATAACCCAGAAAAAAACGCAACAGAAAATTTAAAGTGAATGTAGGAAATGGAATATGTTTGGTCGTTTCATTTTTGGGTTTAGCACGCAAAAGTGATATGAATTTTGGTCATTTTCACGGAGCGCACAGACAAGACAAAAAAAAACGTGTTTTGGCATTGGAAAAGTCGTTGGGTAAATCAAAAGACAGAGAAAAGGATGGAACGGGGGGGCACAAAGACATCCGGTGGAGAGGGGGGGCACGTGGGAGAGAAGGCAGAGAGAGAATTTTCATTTCAACGGCATCTTTAATCACGGATCATTGTTCCCAACCTTTACGCCTCTCTGGCCACTGTTGTGTGATTTCATTCTGTTGGCAGGGTGGTAGCGCAGTTGGCAAATCATGTAGACACCAGTGCACACTCTCACACATACAAAGATCTCCCATGTACCATACGTATATTAGCGAGCTCTTTTTAAGATTGCAACAGTGCATAATGGAGTGGTATGGTCAGCACCACACTGGGCCAGCCACCTTTTTTCACCCCAGTGCTGATGTTATACATACTGTGCCAAGTACTAATTTAACACTGATTCGACCTAAGGGAGGCTCAGATATCTGGGTCAACCTAGGTGAGGTTCGGATATCACTCCCCACTGACGTTAGCCATGGCCAGGAATCAAAATCCGGTTGCTGGGTTTGTACTGCAAAGTGCTACCCATTTTGTGCCACAGTTTCTCACACCAATACCAATACGCGCCATTCGCCACATAGTGAAGGGGATGTGCACTTTGAGGCCACGTGAAGTATCGAAGGCTCGCTGACAGGAGGTCACGGGACAGGCCCAGGTTCCATGGATTGGCTGACTGAGATGACTCGTAGATGCACCAGCTATACCCCCTACTGTGCCAACTTGCTGCATTTTAGCCACCCGGCGCTCCGCTCATTGTGAGCGTCGCTCCTCTGCCCTCAGTGGTTGTTGGAGGGCGACTGCCTCCAACTGCCCAGTAGCGTCCTTCACAAGCCTCCTCCACACACATACACACACACTCACACATCTGACGTAAGTGAAACCCAGCCCCTGGTTTAGATATCACTCACCACTGACAGGTAGACACACAATGGACACTCTTCACATATAGTCTCAACAGACTGTTCGGACAAGTGTTGTTAGCAAGCACCTATGAAGGCCGGCATGGCACACGAGGGAGTGAGTGGCCAGCACCACACCCGTTGTCCACAAGTGGTGATATTTAAACACCGCACCAAGTACTCGTTTGAGGCCAAGTCGACCTACGGGAGGCCTAGGACCAGTACAGATAATCGTCACTGGTGTCGACCGTGAGTGGGAATGCGGGAATCGAACTCGGGTCGCCGGGTTCGTAGCACAGTGCGTGCACACACACATAAGCATGCGTGTACAATTCACCACATATGTCCGTGCAGTTCAAACGAGTGTCAAGCAAAGCTTGTGTGTACTCAGGATAGCGGGAGCTAGGCAGGCCAGCTGAATAATCGGGGTGGTCAGGGGAATCGAGGATGATCGGGGCGGTGAGGCTGAGCACCTCTGAGCCGCTTGAGGCGACGCTGGCGGCGGTGTTTGCGCACGGCGCAGGCGAGCGCCGAGATGGCAGAGAGGAGCAGGAGGCCGCAGCAGAGCGACGCGGTGAGCGCGACGCCATCGCCGTCCGGCACTAGCGAATTGTCGGCACTCAGCCGCGTCAGGGGCGGCACCGTGCCTGCACGGAGCGGGGGGGGCGGGCGACGGGAGGCACAGCAGCGTGTGAATCGCTGCGACATGCGCCATCGCCGTGCACGCACGCATGGTGGGATAAGTAGCCACGTGTGTGTTTATAAATATACACGCGTGTAAATGTTAATATCACGCGTGTGCGCACGCGTGTACACTGGCACATCGGAGACTCACATTCTTACCAAAAAATATATACAAAAAGGACAAAGATCCCCCGTATAGGCTTAACAGACTTGTGTAGCCAGCACCACGCCCTACTAGATTTGTCTCCACAGTGCTGATGTTTTTCCCACCACACCATGGACTTATTTAAGGCTGAGTCAACCTAAAGGAGGCTCAATATCTCTCGCCACTGATGACTGGTCATCAGCAGGAATCGAACTCGGGTAGCCGGGTTCATAGTGCGAAACGCTAATGACAACACTACCACTCCCCAAACACACACACATACAGATATATATAACCAAAGACAAAGATATCCTGTATATCCTTTTCCTGCTGTTGGGTCAAGTGCTGTTAGCGAACACCTATGAAGGGCAGCACAGCACACGAGGGGGTGGGTGGCGAGCACCACTCACGCCCGCCTTTGTCCCCTAGTGGCGATGTTTACACACTGCACCAGGTATTCATTCATCTCAGGCCGAAGGGAGGCCCAGGACTGGTTGAAATATTCGTCACTGTTATTGGCGCAGACCACCAAACTAGGCACACGCAAATACACGCGTGTGCGCGCGCGTGAATGAGCGAGCACCTCCATTGGCGTCGAGCGTGGCGAAGGAGTGGAGGCGCTCAGAGCAGCCAGCTGCGTTGCAGGCACGCGCCCGCACCTCGTACCACGTGCCCTCGCGGAGCGACGCCAGCACGGCGTGCACGCGCGACCACCCGTCCGCTCGCCACCAGCCCTCGCCACCGCCGGCGCTGCCACCCCCGCCACTACCGCCAATGCCTACCAGGGACGCCGCCGACACATTGCCAGTCACCCGGCCAATTAGTCAATCAATCAATTAACCAATTCCATCCAACTAACCAGAAAGCCAATGATGCAGAAAGCCAGTTATTAGACAGTCAACCATTCAGCCAGCCAGCCAATAAACCTGTCACACTGCCAAATCATCCAAAATTTCAGTTGATAAACAAACAAAATCCGTGAAACTATTAACCAACTAATAATGCACTAAACCAGCCATACAATTAAATAATCACACAACTGGCCACTGAACTAATCAATCAACCAATCATAAAGCTAACCAGCCATCCACTCAAACAATTAATAAATTAACTAATTAATCAAACCATTCATCCAAGCAACCACCTATCCACCCCATCATACGCAACACTCACACCCAGCCATATAATCATTCGACACCCCGTCAAGGCTCCCAGCCATCCACCCGCGCCTGCCCCTCACCGCCTGTTCCAGATGCGGTGGCCGGCGCAAGCCGGGTCCAACTGTCAGGTGCGGCCACGGCGGACGAGGGGGCGCCCGCCGGAGGCCCAGGCGGCCGCGACCACCCCGGCTGCCCGGCCGTGGCCGCACCCCAACCCTCGGGGGCCCCGGCGCCGCCACCATCGCCGCCGCCGGCTCCGCCTCCTCCGCCGCCACCTCCGCCACCGGCCCCGCCAGGAGGCAGGTGTGACCACGGCGCCACTCTCGTTCCACCGCCGCCGCTGCCTCCGCCGCCGAGAGACAGCGCGGAGCCGGGCAAATCCGAGTCTTTGGTGAGCCCCGGGAGTTTCGGGATGGATGACGAGGAGGATGATGACGAAGAGGCGGGGGTGCCCGGCGTGCCGATGGGGCGGAACTCGATAGAGAAGGACGTGAGGGGGCAACCGCCATCCGAGAGGCCCAAGAGCAGCAGCGCGGCGTGCGTGGAGTTGACGAAGGAGAGCGTGTGGGAGTCGGGCTCCGCGCGCGAGAACCACGGCGCTAGGGGGGCACGGGGACAGCGGAGGGGCAGAGGCACGCGTCTGTGTGCGTCCGTGCGTCTGTGTGCGTCCGCACGTCTTCACACGTCTGTGCGCCAGCGAATCTGCGTGAACGTCCCGTCTGCACCCACTCACCTTTGCCCTGCGTCTTGGCCTCGAGGATCTCACTGATCCTCCCCGTGCCCACGGCGTTGCGCGCAGGCGAGCGTAAACTTGTACCACGTGCCGCATCGCAGCTGCTGCACACGTAGCGAGCGCTCGCCCGGACCCACGCGCACCTCGTCCCAGCGCTCGCCCCGCTCCGACGACAGCTGCAGCACGTAGCCTGCACACGGCTCGCCAGGGACCAGAGAAGCAGCAGCATCAGCAGGAGATGCAGCAGCAGCAGCAACGGTTAGCAAGAGACAATAGTAGCAGCAACAGCAGCAGCAGAGACAGCAGTAGTAACAGCAGCAGCAACAGCAAAGACAAATCAGCATCAATAGCACCAATAACGGCAGTAATGTTTCAAAACCAATCGCATTAAAAGCAACACCGAAGGCAACACCAATGACAGCATTATTAATAGCAGCAATGTAATTCTCATCCCACCAGAAGTCGAACTCGTAGCCTGCTCTCTGAGGACGTCCCCACTCACCTCGGATGTTGCTGCCCCCATCGTCCCCGGTGACCCAAGTGAGGGTGATGGAGTTGGCTGTTGTCTTGGAGACGGAGAGTCGTGGCTGATCAGGCGGAACTGAACACATGCAGCAACATCAGCCACCATTCACCATTAAGTGGCACCGACATCACCACAGCTCCTGTGCCAGGATAGGTGAACTTCGAGGCCACGTGAAGTGTTGCAAGCTAGCCGGCAAGTGGTCACAGGAACAGACCCAAGTGCTACGGCCTAGGTTATTGACAGGACTGGCAGATGCACCATGTACGATCCCCCCTACGCCAATGCACCATGAGCCACCCGGCACTCTACTGGCTGCTTCCCAACTGCTCCGTACTGTCACAAGCATCCTCCACATGGTGAAATTTTGACACTGCTGGTACGAGTCCATTCAGCTCCAATTTCTCCCATACCAAATCAGCCCATCTTTAAATGTGGCTATGTGACCCAGTATCCTCACCTGTTCAAGGAGTTCACCGATGGAAAAATATCGAATTATATATCTAAATCTCTTAACAATATGCAAGCTCCTCACAGAATCAAGTCTGGTTAAACCCAGGATGGATTGTACGTCTGCTGTAGCAGATGGGCTGAGAATGTGGCCTCTGTGCATTGCTACACCTGCCTGTACCCATATTGTGGCTTCATGAGCTTCTCATCATGCTCAGCAAGAGCATCTTCTTTTTCAGGACAGCCTCAAATAAGTACCTGGTGCAATGTTCACACATCGCACCAGGCACTTATTTGAGGCTGAGTCGACCTAGGGGCGGCCCAAACCCGTTTCAGATACTCGTCACTGGTGTTAGCTGGGAGCAGGAATCAAACTCGTGTCGCCGGCTTGGTAGCGTAGTGCGCCAACACGCACAGCACACGCACCCTGCACAGTGAGCTGCAGGGTGATGCGGTCGGAGCCCCACGAGTTGGAGGCCTCGCAGCTGTAGAAGCCGGAGTCGTCGGCCTTGACGGCGCGGATCACGAGGCTGCCGTTGGTGTGGATAAGACGGCGCGCATCCGACCACAGAGCCACAGGCACGCCGTCACTGTGTTCGCACACACACACGCACACCAAACGAACACACTGTCAACATCATCATGACAAGTTCCAGGCCTCTGTCTGATTGAGGTCGTCGCCACACCGTGTCAGTCATGGGAGGGGGGTATGGCCGCACTGACCACGCTGGTCAGTGAGGAGCGGTGATCGGAGGTTGAGGATCGGTTCCGCTTTCACTCGCTATTGATGTCATCCGCGGTTGGGATTCAAAACTTAGGTCAGCGGGGTCATCATGCAGTGTGCTAATACTATGCCGCAGCTCTTCCCAGTTGTAATGCCGCTGGCTTTTGGAAAGTTGTTCGCCCGTTCTTCCGCTTACAAGCGGAAGTACAGAAATATGAGCAATGCACGACAAATTAGTAAACGATATCCCCTCTCCAAAATACGAGTTTGTTTTTTGAGAAGGCGTGATCCGATCTGGAGAGCGTGTGTTGCATGACGAAAATATGCAAATGGTATCACTGAAAGCAAGGCCCGTATTGTTTCTCTACATGGTCCCTTTGAAGTGTAATTATTTATACATCTACCAAAGAATGCCTCACTGAGCCTCACGACAATTTTTTTCAGAAGGATCCCACATTGAGATGTTGAACCAATTCCACAAATGAGCCTTTGGCATCATGCAAAACGAAAAGTATCCTGAGAATAACCCATCACACATACGAGGAGAAGATGACACTCAAAGCTCCCCGCAAACGGCTTGTATGTAGATATGTTAAACATTGTTCGCACCATACTAATTGGAGGTGCGGGGGAAGGACGACAAACTAAACACAAAAAATTGTTCTAAAAAAATTAGTTTTCAATCTAGATTTAAAAGTGCATAGCTCCAGTGGCTTCCTATTGGAAGCAAGAGCATTCCAGAAGCGCACCTGAAAGCGCGCGATGCGGTAACCGTCTTTGTTCAATGGCCAGCCAAAAGTCGCTGCGAGGATGACCAAATTTCGCATGACGGTTTATGCTCCTTGACGAGACCAGCATTTTTATTGTTTTATTACTTCACTTCTACGTGACTTTACCGAAAGAACCAAGAAGATTGTTCACATGTGGCAAGCACTTTGTGTGTAATGAGTGCGACCTTATAACGTATCGTTCGGCAACCGGAAGTCAATCGCCGTACTGCCACCTCGCAGCTCAAGGCCATCCAAATGCTAACCAGGCTCAACGCTGCGAAGCTTCTGATACCTCAGGAGATCGGCTTATTTGACGATTTGCCTGCCTAAGGAAGGCGATGGACTTTTCTTATCGTCGTGCCGTGTGTGCTGTTTGTTGTTTCGCGGGCGGGACCTGTCCTTGGTCCAGCGCACGGAAGGGCCGGGCTCGCCAACGGAGCGACAGGGCAGCTGCACGTCCCTCATCCACGGCGATGACATGCGGCCTCCAAACGACAGCACCCGCGCCGGCGCTGAGCAACCACAACAACAACCCCCGCCACAAGGACCTTCAGCAACAACAACACTGTGTGTCCGTGTCTCCTGTGTCCCCCCAACGTATGCCCGTGTGTCCCCACGTCCGTTATGTCTCTACGAGTCCCCGGTTTCCCCGACGTCCTCATGTACTCGACGTGTGCATTGTGTTCCTGCACGTGGCAGTGTTCCTGTGTCTCCAGCGCCCTCCATTTACCCGTGCGCTCAACGCTCTTCCGTGTCTTCACGTTCTTCACGTGTCCCCGCGTGTCTCCGTCCGTGTGTGTCCCCCAAGTTCTCCCGTGCCACCTCCGTCCCCGTGTCCCCGTGTCCCTCACCCTTGTGAATGGCCTCGACGGGGACGCTGTGGGTGGCGTTTCCTCTCCCGGCCGCGGTGCTGGCGCTCACGCTCACGACGTAGCGCGTTCCCGTGCGGAGATTCCCCACGCGGTACAGCAGTGTGTCGGGCGCCGACTCAAACTCGCTCACCACCTACACACACACACACCCCAGCGCGTTATCGTGTGTACACACACCCAAAGACAGAGATTCCCCGTAAAGCCTTAACAGACTGTTGGGGCAATCACACCTCCGATTAGTGTGGTTGGCTACATATGGTGCAAAATAAAGTTCAACATACATACTGGGCTGTTAGAGAGCACCTATGAAGGCTGGCAGTTCAGGTAGATGGTGTGGGGTGTGTACCGTGTGTGGCTGGCCCTGGCAGTTCAGGTAGATGGTGTGGGGTGTCTACTGTGTGTGGCTGGCCCTGGTAGTTCAGGTAGATGGTGTGGGGTGTGTACCGTGTGTGGCTGGCCCTGGTAGTTCAGGTAGATGCTGTGGGGTGTGTATCATGTGTGCCTGGCCCTGGTAGTTCAGGTAGATGGTGTGGGGTGTGTACCGTGTGTGGCTGACCCTCGTAATTCAGGTAGATGGTGTGGGGTGTGTACCGTGTGTGCCTGGCCCTGGTAGTTCAGGTAGATGGTGTGGGGTGTGTACCGTGTGTGGCTAGCCCTGGTAGTTCAGGTAGATGATGTGGGGTGTGTATCGTGTGTGGCTGGCCCTGGCAGTTCAGGTAGATGGTGTGTACCGTGTGTGGCTGGCCCTGGTAGTTCAGGTAGATGGTGTACTTGCGGATGAGGCCGTTGGGCGTGAGGGGCGGAAGCCACGACACCATGGCAGCGTTGGCCGACGCAGCGGCCGCTTTAATCCCAGCCGGACTCCCTGGCACTGAGACGCAGGGACGCAAAGACGGCGAAAGAGACAACCAGCGTTGGTGTTACCGTCCGCAGGAGGTGGATTGCGGTGCGGTGTGGAGCATCGCGCTGCGGATCGGTGTGCGGTGTTACCGTCCTCTGCGGTGCGGGCCTGCGTGGCGGGGCTGCGTGCACCCTCCCCGGCCCGTGTGCACGCCGCCACCTGCACACTGTACTCCGTGTACTTGAGCAGCCCCCGCAGCTGCGCGCGTGTCTCCGTCGTGCTCACGTTGCTCACCTCGCCGGGGTCTGGCACGTAAACAACAACAATCACAACAAAAACAACAACAATAGCGGCACCTACATTAATGCCACTAGAAACGCACACACAACAGCAAACAGAACAACATTAAACACAGCAACCTCGCAGCAACAACAACGTTCAGCACTATAACATTAAATGCAACAATATTAAATACACTCGACCACACAGTTATATTTGAAACAACAACTTGAAGCACGAAAATTGCAATGTTGCAATCGTTTGGGGAGTGTCCTGCGATGTATGTATTTTGAACTTCTTTCGCACCATACCTAGCCAATCATGCTCATCGGAGGTGCGGGCGTGTTGTGCCGTTTTGTGTCGTGTGGTGTGGCTCAACGGTACACAGCATGCTAGTGGGGTGCGAAGCTCGGTGTGCGGTTTAACGATGAGTCAACACGTGAACGTGAGTCGTGGGGCGTGATGGAGTGGCACTGCAGTGTGCCGCATGCCTCTTCTATGTTGCGCCGCTGTGTCAATGCAGCACATTCACAGATTCAATTCAGCCGGGTCTGTCCGGTTGGGGGACCTGCGGAATATTTCTTGCATCCCGGCACACCACATGCAGTAAACATCTTGCTGTGCCTCTGGTGTACCGGTGACCAGGAAAACACGTGGTGAGAAATTAAACCCTGGGCACAATGGTGCGGTGTGTGGTGTGTTGGTGTGGCACGACGGTCTTGCGAGTATCATGAGCGGCACGACGATGCGGCGTGCAGGCCTCACCGCCGTCGGTTGACAGGGGCCAGTAGGTGACGCGATAACCGGTGAGGACCCCGTTGAAGGCGTCCCTGGGGGGCGGCTCCCACGTCACCTCCACGGCCTCCGACGACATGGCCACCACGCTCACCGTGCCAGGGGGCCGGCTCGGCACTGGACGCAGGGACGAGGGGACACCACGTGGGAACACGGAGGACATGGGATTCGGAACACAGGGGTACGGGGACATCGGGACGTGGGACACGGGGGCATACGGGCATGGAACGTGAGGACACCACGCAGGACAAAGGGACGCGGGGATGTGGGGACATGAGATGCGAGACACAGGGACAGAGGAGTACAAGGGTGGGGATGCAGGCAGGGACACAAGGATATGAGGACAAGGGGAGATGAAGACACAGGGCATGCAGGGATAAGGGGACCCGGGGAGACACAGATGGAGATGTGAGAGAGAAAGAACCATGGTGGACATGGGCACAGACAGATGTGGGAGACATTAAAACGATGGTACCAAAGGAACTAGGAAGACATGGGGGAAGTAAGCACATGGCAATATTGACATGGGGACAGTGGATCACGAGTACACAGAGACAAGAATATGTGCGAATGCAGAGACATGGGGAAAGTGTGACGATGGGAACGTGGAGACAAGCAGAACACAGGGACAGTGGAGCACAGGGAGGACGGAGCACAAACACAATTAATCACATGCACGCACACAAGCCAACAACAGCTGCCATTTACTACTAAGTGGCAGTGATGAAACCCTGCACTAACACCAGGTTCGATGGAATTCGAGGTGACATGCAGCACATTAAGTTCGTGATTAGGAGATCACGGGACAGATCCCAGTGTGATGGGTCAACCAACTGAGCTGACTGGCAGATGTACCACCTGTGCTCCCAGTTGCACCACCATTCTGTGTTTTAATCGCTGCGGCGCTCTGCCCGTTGTTGTGAGCGACACAAACACGACACACACACGCACACACACACTGGGGCACACATACACACGCACACACGCACACACACGCACTGGGGCACGCACACACACTGGGGCACGCACACACACACGCATGCACACGCACACACGCACACACACTGGGGCACGCACACACGCACACACACACGCACACACACACTGGGGCACGCACACACACACGCACACAAGCACACACACACTGGGGCACACACACGCACAATATGCGCACGCACACATGCACACACACACTGGGGCACGCACACACACACGCACACACACACTGGGGCACACACACACGCACACACACACTGGGGCACGCACACACACTGGGGCACGCACACACGCACACACACACGCACACACACACTGGGGCACGCACACACACACACGCACACAAGCACACACACACTGGGGCACGCACACACACACGCACAATATGCACACGCACACATGCACACACACACTGGGGCACACACACACACGCACACACACACACACGCACGCACACACGCACACACACACGCACACACACGCACACACGCACACACACTGGGGCACGCACCGTCCTCGAGGGTGGTGGCAGTGGCCTCGGGGGAGGTGGGGCCGGTGCCGGCACGGTTGTACGCCTGCACCACCACCGCGTACCCCGCGTACTTGCGCAGGCCCCGCAGCAGCACCGAGCCGCCCGTCTCGGGGTCAAGGGTCACGCGGCTACCCCCGACGGCACCGCCGACAGCGCCTACAGTGCCCACACCACCTGCACACAAAGTGCACACGTATACCGGGTATGCCACGTAAGCACCGAGTGCACGTGCAAGGCACAGATGTGAAAGATTCATGGGACGCAAGCACAAGACATGCATACACAGTGCACCGTGTAGGGAGGACACACATACACACGCAAACCACGCATGGCACAGGATCAGAGTCACCGTTAAGTTAGACACAAGGTCAGGGTTAAAGTCGGGGTTAGGGGTCGGACTGAGGGATCAGAGGTAGAGCGCACACCCACGTACCCCCTCCCTCAGTGGTGGTGCCGTCGAGCGAGGCCGTGTCTGAGGGCGCCGCGGCCGCCCCGCTGGCCGTGAGCGCATCCACCACGATGAAGTGTGTGCCCAGCGCCAGCTCGCGGAAACCGACCTGGTACCCACGAATGAGACCGTTCCGCAGCTCGCGTAGCGGGGCCTGGGCACAAGGGGTGAGGCGGGGGAGGAAGGCGTGGGGGAGTACCAGGAATGGGAGTTTAGTCAGTCACTTTAGTTAGAGTGCAGTTGAGAGATACATTATTTGATGGAAGGATGATCGATATGTTTAGTGAAGATGAGTGAATACATTGTTGTCATCACCACCAGCACCACTGTGACAGACATTACGCTAAACTCGAGGGTTTTGGCTAGGATTCGTACTATTGTGAGGGTTTTGGTTAGTGCTAATGATATGGCATGGACAAGTGTTTAAGCCAAGCACAGAAGTCGGGATAGGGTTGAGTTATGCATAGGGCTAGGGTTAGTGTTGGAGGATTAGGAATCATATGAGGGTAGTTTTCGTGTTAGGGAGAGTGCTAATGATAGGATTAAGATTAGTGTTAGATAAAAGACTGAGGTGGTTAGGGGTAGATATAGGATAGTGATAAATGTCAGGGGTAGAGTTAGAGCTCGTGTAAGGGTTGGTGATAGAATTAGTGGATAGGAGTAGAAGTAGGGCAAGTGTTACGGCTGGTGTTAGGGCTGGTGGTGTTGGAGCTGGTGTTAGGGCTGGTGTTAGAGCTGGAGTTAGGGCTGGTGTTGGGGCTGGTGTTAGGGCTGGTGTTAGGGCTGGTGTTAGGGCTGGTGTTAGGGCTGGTGTTAGGGCTGGTGTTGGGGCTGGTGTTGGGGCTGGTGTTGGGGCTGGTGTTAGGGCTGGTGTTGGGGCTGGTATTAGGGCTGGTGTTAAGGCTAGTAGATAGGGGTGAGTAGATAGGGGTAAATGTGTGAGGGTCAGTGCTAGTGGTCAGGGAAGAGGAACATCTCACCATCCAGGAAACACGGATGCTCTGGGACGACACCGGCTCCAACACCACCTCCAGCGGGGCGCCGTCCGGGGCTGTACACAACACGCCACGTACACAACACGACACGTACACAACAAGACATGTTGCGAGCGAATGTGCATGCGTGGATATCCACATGCGTGTGTACGTGAGCAATCTTGGCCGAATGAGGGCCCGTGTGAGCTGCACCTGCCCATGTGAACTGTACTGGCCGATGTGAAGTGTTCATTGATGTGAGAAATGTTGCCTTCCCGTGCCAGCTGTGCAAACCCATGCCAGCTATAGCTGCCCCACACGAGCTGTGTGTACCCACGCCAGCTATAGCTGCCCCACACGAGCTGTGTGTACTCACGCCAGCTATAGCTGCCCCACACTAGCTGTGTGTACCCACACCAGCTATAGCTGCCCCACACTAGCTGTGTGTACCCACGCCAGCTATAGCTGCCCCACACGAGCTGTGTGTACCCACGCCAGCTATAGCTGCCCCACACGAGCTGTGTGTACCCACACCAGCTATAGCTGCCCCACACGAGCTGTGTGTACCCACGCCAGCTATAGCTGCTTCACACGAGCTGTGTGTACCCACGTCAGCTATAGCTGCCTCACACGAGCTGTGTGTACCCACGTCAGCTATAGCTGCCTCACACTAGCTGTGTGTACCCACGCCAGCTATAGCTGTCTCACACTAGCTGTGTGTACCCACGCCAGCTATAGCTGCCTCACACTAGCTGTGTGTACCCACGCCAGCTATAGCTGCCTCACACTAGCTGTGTGTACCCACGCCAGCTATAGCTGCCTCACACTAGCTGTGTGTACCCACGTCAGCTATAGCTGCGTCACACTAGCTGTGTGTACCCACGCCAGCTATAGCTGTCTCACACGAGCTGTGTGTACCCACGCCACCTATAACTGCCCCACACGAGCTGTGTGTACCCACGCCAGCTATAGCTGTCTCACACTAGCTGTGTGTACCCACGCCAGCTATAGCTGTCTCACGCTAGCTGTGTGTACCCACGCCAGCTATAGCTGTCTCACACGAGCTGTGTGTGCCCACACCAGCTATAGCTGTCTCACGCTAACTGTGTGTGCCCACGCCAGCTATAGCTGTCTCACACGAGCTGTGTGTACCCACGCCAGCTATAGCTGTCTCACACGAGCTGTGTGTACCCACGCCAGCTATAGCTGTCTCACGCTAGCTGTGTGTACCCACGCCAGCTATAGCTGTCTCACACTAGCTGTGTGTACCCACGCCAGCTATAGCTGTCTCACACGAGCTGTGTGTACCCACACCAGCTATAGCTGTCTCACACGAGCTGTGTGTACCCACGCCAGCTATAACTGTCTCACGCTAACTGTGTGTACCCACGCCAGCTATAGCTGTCTCACACGAGCTGTGTGTACCCACGCCAGCTATAGCTATCTCACACGAGCTGTGTGTGCCCACGCCAGCTATAGCTGTCTCACACGAGCTGTGTGTACCCACGCCAGCTATAGCTGTCTCACGCTAGCTGTGTGTACCCACGCCAGCTATAGCTGTCTCACGCTAGCTGTGTGTGCCCACGCCAGCTATAGCTGTCTCACACTAGCTGTGTGTACCCACGCCAGCTATAGCTGCCCCACACGAGCTGTGTGTACCCACGCCAGCTATAGCTGTCTCACGCTAGCTGTGTGTACCCACGCCAGCTATAGCTGTCTCACACGAGCTGTGTGTACCCACGCCAGCTATAGCTGTCTCACGCTAACTGTGTGTACCCACGCCAGCTATAGCTGTCTCACGCTAGCTGTGTGTGCCCACGCCAGCTATAGCTGTCTCACACGAGCTGTGTGTACCCACACCAGCTATAGCTGCCTCACACTAGCTGTGTGTACCCACGCCAGCTATAGCTGTCTCACACGAGCTGTGTGTACCCACGCCAGCTATAGCTGCTTCACACGAGCTGTGTGTACCCACGTCAGCTATAGCTGTCTCACACGAGCTGTGTGTACCCACGCCAGCTATAGCTGTCTCACACGAGCTGTGTGTACCCACGCCAGCTATAGCTGCTTCACACGAGCTGTGTGTACCCACGTCAGCTATAGCTGTCTCACACGAGCTGTGTGTACCCACGCCAGCTATAGCTGCTTCACACGAGCTGTGTGTACCCACGTCAGTTATAGCTGTCTCACACGAGCTGTGTGTACCCACGCCAGCTATAGCTGTCTCACACGAGCTGTGTGTACCCACGCCAGCTATAGCTGTCTCACACGAGCTGTGTGTACCCACGCCAGCTATAGCTGTCCCACGTGAGCTGTGTGTACCCACGCCAGCTATAGCTATCTCACAATAGCTGTGTGTACCCACGCCAGCTATAGCTGTCCCACGCTAGCTGTGTGTACCCACGCCAGCTATAGCTGTCTCACAATAGCTGTGTGTACCCACGCCAGCTATAGCTGTCTCACGCTAGCTGTGTGTACCCACGCCAGCTATAGCTGTCTCACAATAGCTGTGTGTACCCACGCCAGCTATAGCTGTCCCACGCTAGCTGTGTGTACCCACGCCAGCTATAGCTGTTTCACAATAGCTGTGTGTACCCACGCCAGCTATAGCTGTCTCACAATAGCTGTGTGTGCCCACGCCAGCTATAGCTGTCCCACGCTAGCTGTGTGTACCCACGCCAGCTATAGCTGTCTCACGCTAGCTGTGTGTACCCACGCCAGCTATAGCTGTCTCACAATAGCTGTGTGTACCCACGCCAGCTATAGCTGTCTCACGCTAGCTGTGTGTACCCACGCCAGCTATAGCTGCCCCACACTAGCTGTGTGTACCCACGCCAGCTATAGCTGTCTCACACGAGCTGTGTGTACCCACGCCAGCTATAGCTGTCTCACACGAGCTGTGTGTACCCACACCAGCTATAGCTGTCTCACACGAGCTGTGTGTACCCACGCCAGCTATAGCTGCCCCACACTAGCTGTGTGTACCCACGCCAGCTACAGCTGCCTCACACGAGCTGTGTGTACCCACGCCAGCTATAGCTGTCTCACAATAGCTGTGTGTACCCACGCCAGCTATAGCTGCCCCACACGAGCTGTGTTTACCCACACCAGCTATTGCTGTCTCACACGAGCTGTGTGTACCCACGCCAGCTATAGCTATCTCACACGAGCTGTGTGTGCCCACGCCAGCTATAGCTGTCTCACACGAGCTGTGTGTACCCACGCCAGCTATAGCTGTCTCACGCTAGCTGTGTGTACCCACGCCAGCTATAGCTGTCTCACGCTAGCTGTGTGTGCCCACGCCAGCTATAGCTGTCTCACACTAGCTGTGTGTACCCACGCCAGCTATAGCTGCCCCACACGAGCTGTGTGTACCCACGCCAGCTATAGCTGTCTCACGCTAGCTGTGTGTACCCACGCCAGCTATAGCTGTCTCACACGAGCTGTGTGTACCCACGCCAGCTATAGCTGTCTCACGCTAACTGTGTGTACCCACGCCAGCTATAGCTGTCTCACGCTAGCTGTGTGTGCCCACGCCAGCTATAGCTGTCTCACACGAGCTGTGTGTACCCACACCAGCTATAGCTGCCTCACACTAGCTGTGTGTACCCACGCCAGCTATAGCTGTCTCACACGAGCTGTGTGTACCCACGCCAGCTATAGCTGCTTCACACGAGCTGTGTGTACCCACGTCAGCTATAGCTGTCTCACACGAGCTGTGTGTACCCACGCCAGCTATAGCTGTCTCACACGAGCTGTGTGTACCCACGCCAGCTATAGCTGCTTCACACGAGCTGTGTGTACCCACGTCAGCTATAGCTGTCTCACACGAGCTGTGTGTACCCACGCCAGCTATAGCTGCTTCACACGAGCTGTGTGTACCCACGTCAGTTATAGCTGTCTCACACGAGCTGTGTGTACCCACGCCAGCTATAGCTGTCTCACACGAGCTGTGTGTACCCACGCCAGCTATAGCTGTCTCACACGAGCTGTGTGTACCCACGCCAGCTATAGCTGTCCCACGTGAGCTGTGTGTACCCACGCCAGCTATAGCTATCTCACAATAGCTGTGTGTACCCACGCCAGCTATAGCTGTCCCACGCTAGCTGTGTGTACCCACGCCAGCTATAGCTGTCTCACAATAGCTGTGTGTACCCACGCCAGCTATAGCTGTCTCACGCTAGCTGTGTGTACCCACGCCAGCTATAGCTGTCTCACAATAGCTGTGTGTACCCACGCCAGCTATAGCTGTCCCACGCTAGCTGTGTGTACCCACGCCAGCTATAGCTGTTTCACAATAGCTGTGTGTACCCACGCCAGCTATAGCTGTCTCACAATAGCTGTGTGTGCCCACGCCAGCTATAGCTGTCCCACGCTAGCTGTGTGTACCCACGCCAGCTATAGCTGTCTCACGCTAGCTGTGTGTACCCACGCCAGCTATAGCTGTCTCACAATAGCTGTGTGTACCCACGCCAGCTATAGCTGTCTCACGCTAGCTGTGTGTACCCACGCCAGCTATAGCTGCCCCACACTAGCTGTGTGTACCCACGCCAGCTATAGCTGTCTCACACGAGCTGTGTGTACCCACGCCAGCTATAGCTGTCTCACACGAGCTGTGTGTACCCACACCAGCTATAGCTGTCTCACACGAGCTGTGTGTACCCACGCCAGCTATAGCTGCCCCACACTAGCTGTGTGTACCCACGCCAGCTACAGCTGCCTCACACGAGCTGTGTGTACCCACGCCAGCTATAGCTGTCTCACAATAGCTGTGTGTACCCACGCCAGCTATAGCTGCCCCACACGAGCTGTGTTTACCCACACCAGCTATTGCTGTCTCACACGAGCTGTGTGTACCCACACCAGCTATAGCTGTCTCACACGAGCTGTGTGTACCCACGCCAGCTACAGCTGCCCCACACTAACTGTGTGTACCCACGCCAGCTATAGCTGTCTCACGCTAACTGTGTGTACCCACGCCAGCTATAGCTGTCTCACACTAGCTGTGTGTACCCACGCCAACTATAGCTGTCTCACACTAGCTGTGTGTACCCACGCCAGCTATAGCTGTCTCACGCTAACTGTGTGTACCCACGCCAGCTATAGCTGCCCCACATGAGCTGTGTGTACCCACGCCAGCTATAGCTGTCTCACACGAGCTGTGTGTACCCACACCAGCTATAGCTGCCCCACATGAGCTGTGTGTACCCACGCCAGCTATAGCTGTCTCACACGAGCTGTGTGTACCCACGCCAGCTACAGCTGTCTCACGCTAGCTGTGTGTACCCACGCCAGCTATAGCTGCCCCACACGAGCTGTGTGTACCCACACCAGCTATAGCTGCCTCACACGAGCTGTGTGTACCCACGCCAGCTACAGCTGCCTCACACGAGCTGTGTGTACCCACGCCAGCTACAGCTGCCTCACACGAGCTGTGTGTACCCACGCCAGCTATAGCTGTCTCACACGAGCTGTGTGTACCCACGCCAGCTATAGCTGCCTCACACGAGCTGTGTGTACCCACGCCAGCTATAGCTGTCTCACACGAGCTGTGTGTACCCACGCCAGCTATAGCTGTCTCACACGAGCTGTGTGTACCCACGCCAGCTATAGCTGTCTCACACGAGCTGTGTGTACCCACGCCAGCTACAGCTGTCTCACACGAGCTGTGTGTACCCACGCCAGCTATAGCTGTCTCACACAAGCTGTGTGTACCCACGCCAGCTATAGCTGTCTCACACGAGCTGTGTGTACCCACACCAGCTATAGCTGTCTCACATGAGCTGTGTGTACCCACGCCAGCTATAGCTGTCTCACACAAGCTGTGTGTACCCACGCCAGCTATAGCTGTCTCACACGAGCTGTGTGTACCCACGCCAGCTATAGCTGTCTCACACGAGCTGTGTGTACCCACGCCAGCTATAGCTGTCTCACGCTAGCTGTGTGTACCCACACCAGCTATAGCTGTCTCACACGAGCTGTGTGTACCCACGCCAGCTATAGCTGCCCCGCACGAGCTGTGTGTACCCACGCCAGCTATAGCTGTCTCACACGAGCTGTGTGTACCCACGCCAGCTATAGCTGTCTCACGCTAGCTGTGTGTACCCACGCCAGCTATAGCTGTCTCACACGAGCTGTGTGTACCCACGCCAGCTATAGCTGTCTCACACTAGCTGTGTGTACCCACGCCAGCTATAGCTGTCTCACACGAGCTGTGTGTACCCACGCCAGCTATAGCTGTCTCACGCTAGCTGTGTGTACCCACGCCAGCTATAGCTGCCTCACACTAGCTGTGTGTACCCACGCCAGCTATAGCTGTCTCACACGAGCTGTGTGTACCCACGCCAGCTATAGCTGCCTCACACTAGCTGTGTGTACCCACGCCAGCTATAGCTGTCTCACACTAGCTGTGTGTACCCACGCCAGCTATAGCTGTCTCACACTAGCTGTGTGTACCCACGCCAGCTATAGCTGCCCCGCACGAGCTGTGTGTATCCACACCAGCTATAGCTGTCTCACACTAGCTGTGTGTACCCACGCCAGCTATAGCTGTCTCACACGAGCTGTGTGTACCCACGCCAGCTACAGCTGTCTCACACGAGCTGTGTGTACCCACACCAGCTATATCTGTCTCACACGAGCTGTGTGTGCCCACACCAGCTATAGCTGTCTCACACGAGCTGTGTGTGCCCACACCAGCTATAGCTGTCTCACACGAGCTGTGTGTAGCCACGCCAGCTATAGCTGTCTCACACTAGCTGTGTGTACCCACGCCAGCTATAGCTGCCCCACACGAGCTGTGTGTACCCACGTCAGCTATAGCTGTCTCACGCTAACTGTGTGTAGCCACGCCAGCTATAGCTGTCTCACACGAGCTGTGTGTACCCACGCCAGCTATAGCTGTCTCACGCTAGCTGTGTGTACCCACGCCAGCTATAGCTGTCTCACACTAGCTGTGTGTACCCACGCCAGCTATAGCTGTCTCCCACGAGCTGTGTGTACCCACGCCAGCTATAGCTGCCCCACACTAGCTGTGTGTGCCCACGCCAGCTATAGCTGTCTCATGCTGTGTGTACCCACGCCAGCTATAGCTGTCTCACGCTAGCTGTGTGTACCCACGCCAGCTATAGCTGTCTCACACAAGCTGTGTGTACCCACGCCAGCTATAGCTGTCTCACACTAGCTGTGTGTACCCGTGCAAACTCTATCGACCCTATTCGAGCTGTGCTTGTCCATGCGAGTTCGAGCTGCCCGTGCGAGCGGTACATACCGGCCTCCTGCGTGGTGGCTAGGATCTCGGAGCTGGCATCGCCACGGCCGATGTGGTTGCGAGCGGCTACGCGGAGGCGGTAGGAGGTCGCCGGGTGAAGATCGATGACGGTGGCAAGAGATATCTCGGGAGAAATGCCACTCGTCTGCTGGGAGCGCTCCCATGGCTCTGAATGACATCATCGTTGTCGTCAACGTCACCGTCATCATCGTCATTGTCAACATGAACACCATCATCGTTACCGTCAACATCACCATCATCAGCAACGTCATTGTCAACATCAACACCATCATCGTTAGCGTCCATGTCACCGTCATTGTCAACATCAACAGCATCATCATTACCATCACCATCATCGTCGTCAACATCAACATCATTCCTACCATCATCATCACCATCAACACCACAATTGTCATCAATATCACGACTAATGCACCACCATCAGCAACACTATTTCTCATAACCAACATCAACACGACCAACCCCCAAAAAAATCACCCCCACCAACATCGCCACCTACATCAACCATATGAACACAATCACTAAAAACACCACCACCATCAACACCAGCACTAGCACAAGCAAAATCATCTCCACAAATATCATCACCACATGATAAAAATAATCAACATGAAAGTGACCACCACCCCCCAAATGATTGCTATCGCTACTATCAACGTCATCACTGCCTTTATCATAACCATGATCACCATATTAACATGATAATCACCACAATCCTCATTAGTGGTTTGGAGTGGTGGCGCAGTGATTTGTGCACTGGGCTATGAAGTGGGAGGGCTGGTTGGTGTGCGGCTGGTTGATGTATGGCCGGTTAGTGAGGGTTTCGTGAGTGGGGGGCTCGTGTTTTGGGCTCGTAGGTGGATGGCGTGTGGCTGATTAGTGGACGGCTGGTTAGTGGAGAGTTCATTAGCACACGTACTGGATTCTTGTACTGGATGTTGAAGTCTGTGATGGGGGTTCATGCGTGGAGATTCCTGTGATGGCGAAACTCATGATACGGGCATGTGAGTGGGGGGCTTGTTGATGGGAGGGCGGATGGCTGGTTAGTGGGGGGGCTCGTTAGTGCACACGCACCGCTGGCATTCTTGTACTGGATGTCAAAGCCTGTGATTGGACTGTTGCCGTTGAAGCCGGCGCTCCACCTCAGCGTGATGCTGCGTGACGTCACCTCGCGCACGTTCACCTCCGGGGGGTCTGGGGGCTCTGATGGGCGGCATGAACAAAGGTAAAGATCCCCCACATAGCCATTAACAGTTTGTTGTTTGGGCAAGTGCTATTAGCGAGCACCTATGAAGGCTGGCTTAGCATATGACGAGGTGGGCAGCCAATGCCATGCCTGACCACTGTTATATCCCCAGTGCTGATTTTTACATACCACACCAGGTACTCATTTCAGGCTGAGTCAAGTTAGGAGAGGCTTAAGACCGGTTTCGACATTCACCACTGTTAAAGATTCGCAAGTGGGAATCGAACTCGGGTCGCCGGGTCCGTAGCACAGTGCACTTACCACTGCACTTCCACTCCCGATACGATCACACACATGCACAAATACGCACCTCCGAATAGCATGGTTGGCTATGTACGGTGCGAAAGAAGTTCAACATACATCAAGAAATTCACACCCACACGTGGGGAAACATCTAAAAAAAAAGTACCAAACGAGGAGAATTCCTTGAATGAACTCTGTGACGAACATGCGTGGCGCGTGTGCCCTGGCGCGTGTGTCTGCGTGTCCTGTGGCATACCCTGCACGGTGAGCTGGATGATGGCGCGGTCCTCCCCATACGAGTTCACCGCGTGGCACGAGTAGAAACCCGAATCTCCACGCATGGCTGGGAGGATCTGGAGCAAAAACAAAGACAAAGATCCCCCGTATAGCAGCCTGAATTCATTCTTGGGGCAAGTGCTGTTAGCGAGCACTTATCAAGGTCGCCACGGCACACGAGGCGGTGGGAAGCCAGCACCATTCCTGGCCGCCTCTGTATCCCTAGTGGCGACGTTTACGCATCGCACCAGGTACTAATTTGAGGCCGAGTCGACCTAGGGGAGGCTCAGCACCGGTTCAGATCATCGTCACTGGTATTGGCCGTGAGGGGGAATCTAACTTGGGGCGCCAGGTCCAACACACCTACACACACAAAGATAAAGATATACTCTTTTTTTATAGACCAGAGGTGCAAATGCTGTTCACAAACACAAATGAAAGTGGGCTTGGATAAGACACACCATGATGGCCAGAAGGATTGATGGCTAATGGATGAGATAGGTAACGGAATAGTCGCCAAAGAAGAAAACCGATGTGAGAAGATAACCACATGGAGATGGAGCTATGGGATAAACTCCTGTGCAGGAGTGAGATGAATTGTGGCATCACAGGACCATGAGGGTGTGGAGAGGCCTTTACGCAGCGGTGGAAAGACAATGGCTGCTGATGATGATGATGCCATGGATGAATGGACAGACAGATGGAGGGGAAGACAGAAAGAGGCACAGACAGAGAAACAAAGGGACAGAGAGAAAGACAGACCAATGGACAGGGGAAAGGACAGACAGACCAACGGACGGACCAACGGGCAGGAGCGAGCACCTGCAGCGTGGAGGTCATTTCGCCGGCGCTGCCCTGCGTGTCGATGGCGTAGCGGTACGAGCGCTCCGGCTGGATCACCGAGTCGTCCTTCTCCCAGCGCACGAGCAGCGGGCGGTCGCCGCGCGCCGAGCACTGCAGCTCCTCGCGGCGGCCGAGCACCGCGAGAGACGCGTTGGGGTGCCGTGTGATCATGGCCGGCACTGCCAGGAGAGAGAGGAGCGCCAAGGAGAGGTAGAGAAAGAGGGGGTGGCACAGGACGATGGAGAAGGAGGAGGGACAGGAGGTGGAGGGACACACGTGGGAGAGTGGGGCAGCAAAAGAAAGCAGTGGTGAGTAACATGATATAGAGGGAAGCATGGGAGGAGTTGCGGAGACATGGCAGCAAAGTGTGGAGCAAAAGAGAGCAATGGTGAGTCAGAATGCAGTAGAAGGAAGGGCAGGCATGCAGAGAGGAGTTGGGGAGATACAAGAAAGAGGCGTGCGAGAGCAAGGGGAATGAGGGGAAAGGCATGGGGAATCAGCAGAAAATAAGATTAAGTGATGTCGGAGGCAAGTAGAATGAGAGGGAGTGAGTGGGGAAGCCAGAGGAACCAGTGGGAGTGAGAGACACATGTGGGGAGTCATTCGGAGTGTGATGAATTAAGGGAGAATCATGGGGAGTGAGAGAAAGGGGGATGCAGGAAGAGGCAGCAGAGGTGACAAGAAGCAACAAAGAGAGAAATAAGATAGAGCGCACAGAATTGATGGGAAAGCCATGGAGAAAGCGAGTGAAAGCAGGCAACAGCGGTGGAAAGAATACGTTACGAGGAGCCATGTTGAGACGCAGGAGCAGGTGGGGGTGAAGGGGAGCCAGAGGGGACCATGGGAAGTGTAAATACACGTGGAACATTTTCAAGATGAGGATTGCTCTCATGTGCGGAACTGTGTACATACCAGCCCAAAGGTGCACATAACTAGCAGGTGTTTCGCAATCACATTGTTATTAATAGCGGTACATTTTGTGTAGTAAATAGGAGAGAGATATGTGTGTGTGGGCATGTGCGTATGTAGCCTGTGCACTTACATCTCACAGAGAGCAACATGGCCTTGCTGATGTCTGTTCCCACACCATTGCTGACCTATTAATCAGATGCACAGACGCACACATATGTATGTACGCTCACACACACACACACACGCGTCCACACGCACAGATGCGTACGCAGATCCCCTACAAGAGGTCTTGTGAAGTTAGATACAATTTTCCAGTGGTGATGACGTGCACCACGGTCAGGAATCTAACCCAGGTGACTCGCATCACACACTGCACAGCTCACCCCACCACACACATTAACTTGGGCAAATGTCAGCACCACTCCCGGCCGCCTTTCTCTCGCTAGTGGCGATGTTTACACATCGTAGCAGGTACTCATTTGATGCTAAGTCAACCTAGGGCAGGTCCAGGACTGGTTTAGATCATCGTCCCTGGTGTTGGCCATGAGCAGGAATCGTCGGGTTCATAGCGCAGCGCACATGCACACGTACACAAATATGCAAATACAAAGACCCCCGGAAAGCCTTACCAGACTGCTGGGGCAGGTGCTGTTAGCGAGCACCTATAAAGGCCAGCACGGCACATTAAGGGGTGGGTGGCCAGTGGTGATGTTTTACACACGGCATAAGGTATTCATTTTGGGCTAAGTCGACCTAGGGAAGGTCCAGGACCGGATTAGATAATCATCACTGGTGTTGGCCATGAGTGGGAATTGAACTTTGGTCGCCGGGTTCGTAGCACAAAGCGTTAACCGCTACACTACCACTTCCCACGTGTGCCCATACACACACACATTCCAACAACATTTCCCAGTCCACCAGCTATCCCGTGTAAGACTCACTCACAACTCCCCTCCTCCCCCTGTACTGTGTAGGGGACGCCCCCCGCTGGGTGGGACTGCACATCACCTGGCACAGGTAGTGACCGGCGTCCGTCTCGAGGGTCCGCGTGAGCAGCAGCGAGCCGTTCGCCAGCAGCTGAAGTCGCCCCCCGCCGCCCAGCGCCAGCGGCTGGAAGCTGGGGATTCCTCCACCTGGGACGCAAACAAACACACGTCATCGTGACCACCACCATCGTCACCGTCGTCATCAGCAAACACACGTCGTCGTGACCACCGCCATCGTCACCGTCGTCATCAACAAACACACGTCATCGTGACCACCACCATCGTCACCGTCGTCATCAGCAAACACACGTCGTCGTCACCACCACCATCGTCACCGTCGTCATCAGCTGTAGGCAACCCCACACGGGATGAAGGGGACTCCCTCCCCAAGGCCGCCACTGTCATCTCTCACGATCCTGCGATGTTCATAATCCACGTCACGTACATACATGCACATATATAATATTAATAATAGATATTATTATAACAACCAACAAGGCATTGTCAAGCCACGACTGTATAAAGGCCTTCCGATATCGTGTCAGTCATTGGGCCGTTTGACCGTACTTCACTCCACTGGCTACAACAGGTTGGTGAAGAATCAGGGGAGAATGGTTCGGATATTACCCGACGGTGATGTTTTTCGACCACGGAACCACCGCACCTCCACTGCCCCCCACATACACGGATCTACATATGTGTGTAGTGACATAGAATGAGTCACTGGAACGCGTAGTGCTGGGGACTCGTAGAGAGTTGGATTACGGGTAGCAGAAGCCTGTAGCCTTCTGGGGGAATCCAGAAGGGGGCGTGGCCTAGCCACGCTGGAGAGGATAAAAGGAGAGCTCCGACACTCAGTCGGGGCTGCCGTGGTCTTGAGTGAAACTCGCCGTGCTGCCGTCGTCATGGTCTTCGCCTCTTCGAGCTGTGGATCAGGAAGCATGTTGGCTGTCCTGACCCAGTGTGTAGTTATCCCCTTTGTGAAGGCCGGAATAAATTAGAGAGAGTGCCTCCTACTAGTGTCTCTGAATTAGCACACATGTGTATAAATATGCATGCACATAGATATGCATATATATACACACAAACACACAAAGATCCATCTACCACATATAGACTTTTGTGGCATGTGTTGTTAACGAGCATGTATATATACACACTAGAGGGCAGTCCATCCTAAAGAATGGAGTAACAAGACACTAACCTGACCCTCACACAGACAAATATCCCACGTATAGCCTTAAAAGATTCTTGGGGCAATGAAGACCGGCGTGGCACACGAGGTGGTAGGTTGCTAGCACCACACCCGGCGGCCTCTCTCGTGGCGATGTTTACACATTGCACCAGGTACACATTTGAGGCTGAGTCAGCCTAGGGGAGGCCCAGCACCGGTTCAGATCATCGATACTGGCGTCGGCCATGACCTGACCCTCACCAAAGATACTCACATCCACCAGACATCCACCACCCACGCAACACGGACACTCACCAATCATTAAGTGCCGAACCACCACCCACGTGCGCACACACGCACTCCAGGCCGGAGGACCCGCACCGTCCACCCTGGGTCCCTCACCTGCCGAGTACTTCCAGGTAATGGAGGGGGCCGGGTATCCTTCAGCGGAGCAATTGAGGACTGCGGGGCGACCGAAGATCCCGTCCTGGTCCCCGGGCGGAACCACGAACCGCGGGGGGACTGAGTGTAGCGGTGGGCAACGGCGGAACCGCGCGGGCAGAGGTGATGCAAGAGTGAAGACGGTTAGAGCCGGAACAATTCGTCCATTCATCATCATCAGCCATGTTTTATCCACAGCTAGGGGAAGGAAGGTCACCCCGGGCCATGATGTAACAATTCTCCACCTTGCACCCGCACATGAACTGACCCAGTGATTATTATCACCCCCATCGTCCTTCGCCATCCTAACCGACATCACACTTGGCGTGTCTGGGGCCAACGGGGACTGGATGCTATGGTTTAGGTACATTTGTAGGGAGTGGGGTGGGGGGGTTACCATAATTGATTCCGCAGGTCAGCACGGGTTGTCTCACCCTGACTACCTGACGGCTGTGTGCGCCCCTACCTAGTAGAGATAGGTCACTTCTGAAAAAGAGCTATATCTAGCTCATTGGGCCATATCAGGTAAAGTAAAACTAGTCAGTGACAAACAAATCCCCGCTTTCATCCTTGCATTTGAAAAGCGTTAAAGACTCGCCCTCGGCCGTACCGCGCACGGTGAGGCGGCTGGAGTGTGTGGCAGTGGCGGCGGCATTGCTCGCCACGCACGTGTAGTTGCCGTCGTGCACGGGCGACGCGCTGGCGACACGCAGCGAGCTCGTGTACTCCAGCGTCTCGACGCGCACGCCCGTGGCGCTGCCCGACACCACGCCCGGCGCGCCGTGCTCGCGGATCGGCCGCCCGTCGCAACGCCACGAGATGAGGATGGGCAGCTCGCCCGAGACCACCACGCACGAGACGAACACCCGCTGCCCCACCGACACCGACGGGAACTCAAACGGCTGGATGATGGGCGGAACTGCCGGGGGGTGAAGCGGGGGGTGGGGGGGAACACGGAGACAAAGACAAAGATCCTCTGTATAGCCGACTGTTGCGGAAAGTGCCGTGAGCGATGTTTACACATCGCCCCAGGTGCTCATTTGAGGTTGAGTTGAATTAGGGGGAGGCCTACGACTGGTTCAGATATTTGTCAGTGTTAGCCATAAGCGGGAATCGAACTCGGGTCGCCGGGTTTGTAGCGCAGCGCGCTAATCGCTGCACTACCACTCCCAAACACACGGGGAACACACGGTGGAACACAAACAGTGAAGATAAATGGATAGGGATGTCGCTGCGTAGGTTTTCACGGTTGTGCTGTATGTCTCTCTGATGTGGTTTCGGGTTGTTTCTGCGCGTGTTGTTCGGCTTGATGTCCGACGTTTCGCTCCGTGTGTTCAAGCTAACAGCACATGGAGTAAAATTTTGAGGGTCATGCGGTACACCCTTAAAACACACAGGGGAGCTGTACGATAAGGATGATACTCGTTGCGGGTTGTTGTATTAAAATGCGTTGGTATGTATGTGTGTATGCGTGGGTGAGGATCTAAAGCCAGTGTCTTAATGTATGTACTGTACATGTACAAACCCACCGACAAAATAATTGGGTTATGTGACCATACTTCACCACTGTGTCAGTCTGGGTTGCAGCATAGTACCGTAAAATATATATTTTTTCTGCACTGCCACCTGCTGACGCGGCACCACAGCAGCCTACGACACAAGTTTTGTCCGGTGCTTGCCTATCCAAGCACTATCCAGGCTCAACGCTGCTTAGCTTTTGAGATACGATGAGATTGGGAATGCTAACACCTCACCTGTGCGAGCTACCAACCCAATCCTCATCATAGGTGCCCTCTCTAGCCCCGAAACCTGTGGGTACCTCCCCTCTAAGCTCCTACCCAGAGGTGCCGCTACCTAACCCCCTGCCTCGTATGTGTTGTCTCTCTCAACGCAAAATCATAGGCACTGCCCCAAGCCCTGACCTCTGGCCCTTTAATCACAAACCAACATCTGCCATGCATCTTAACACTTAACCTCGAGGTGCTGCGTCCCTAAATCCTCCATGAGAAAGATGTTGCCCCTCGAAGCCCCGACCCATAGGTGCGGTCACTAACCCCTTACATGTGCAGCATGGTGACTTCCCCAACCCCTACCCTCACATCCCGCCCCTTACCCGCCGCCCTCCTCTCACTCTCACCTCGGAGGCCAAGGTGTGTGCTGGCGTGGATGCTGTGCTGGGGCTGCACGAGCACGCTGCACACATACTCGCCCTCGTCCTGGCCCTTCTGAGCCTCGGAGAGGCGCAGCGTGCCATTGGCGTACACGCTCTGCCGGTGGTTGACGGGTAGCGGCAGCCCGTCGCGCAACCAGCGGATCGAGTAGTAGGGGTAGCCCACGACGCGGCAGTGCATGAACACGTCGTGTCCGGCCAGCGCCGTCACGTTGCGCATCGGCCGGATGCTCGGGGGACCTGGGCGCCGGTGAAACAGGGTGGGGGGGGGCGCGCGAACACGGAGGTATGGGAGGGATACGTTGGGGATTGGGCGGGCGGTGGGGTATGTTGGAGAGACGTGTGGGAGGCAAGTAGAGGTACGTTGGACATGCGGTGGTACGCAAGGGAGGTCGCAGGATATAAGCGCAGAGATACACGAAGGGGCGTCCGTGCAGGAGGGAATGTGTGCGGAAGACATGAGCGAGATGAATATGTAAATAATGCAATACATGGGAGGCACGATGAGCCATATGGAAGACAGGTGGGAGGTATATGGGCATAGACATGAGACAAGGGGCTGAACCCGGGCAGGCACATCAGAGGCATATGAAAGACAAGGAAGGACACGTGGAGACACAAAGAAGGAACTCAAAGGGGTATATATGTGTGACCGGTGGGAGACACGCGGAGGATACGTGGCAGCACATGGATAACAGAGGAAGGGACACAAAAGTACGATCGGATACGAGTGAGGTGTGTAAAGAAGCAGAATGGAGTAGGAGACACGTGGGAGAAGTGGGGAAGTACAGTGAAGATACGAGGTAGGAGAAATATGGAGAAACACAATAGATGTGTCATGAGGAGACATGGGAGACACAGGGAGGTAAATGGAAGACCGTGAAGAGAAGAAGGGGGGTACACACGGGGAGAAGTTGGAGACAAAGACAGAAAAAAATGTGACACATTGGAGACTCACAGAAGTGAAAAGGGACACATGAGAGATGAGGGGAGGTCGACAGGGGGATCATAACGGAATATGTGGGAGACATACGGAGGACACGGAGAGGAACACAAGGGAATGCATGGGGAGATGCAGAGGGGTGTTGGAGGCAGGGTAGAGTAGGGGGGGGGGGGCGGGGGGAGGGGTATTGAAGGTTATTAAAAAGAAAATGCTCATTGGAACGCTGACATGGTAGTCAACACAAAAAAAAACCCGAGATCAGCAGCTACGAGAGACAGCAAGAGAAGGAGGGAGGGAGTGAGAGGGAGTGCGTGTGGAGCCACTCCATCATGAGCACTCCCATGTGGTCGTCGCGCCTGCGGGCGGGATGGAAAAATTTCGAGAGACAGACACGTACACGCTCCAACACACACACACAACCTCATCATGCGCATACACAACCACTCATAAACAATCATACCAACACACCCATACGCAACCATACAAACACACACAATCATACGAAATACGAACACGTACATGCACACACAACCGCGTAAATAAACAACCACAACCACTCATGCAAACACACACATATAACCATACGACCACACATACAAAGACAAAGATCCCCTGTGTAGCCTTATACTGTCGACAAGTACTGTTAGCGAGCACCTATGAAGGCCGGTACAGTGGGTGGCCAGCACCACGCCCAACACACCTTTGACTTTCAGTGGCAATGTCTACATAAAAGACCAGGTACTCATTTGAAGCTGAGTCGACCTAGGGGAGGCCCATGACCAGTTCAGATAATCGTCACTTGTGTTGGCCGTGAGCGGGAATCAATCTCTGGTCACTGGGCTTGTCGCGCAGTGCGGTGATCGCTGCGTCACCACTCCCCATACTTCATCACTAACATCGCCGTTCGCCACTCAGTGGCGGTGACGTCCCCAAGACGCTTGTGCCATGCTTGGTGCACTTTCCACCGAGCAGTGCACGATACTTGTGCAGATGCACCAAATGTGCTCCTCAACTTTCCGCGATTTTGCAACCCGGCGCTCTGTTCGTTGTTGTGAGCATCGCTCCTCTGCCCTCTGTTACTGGCGGAGGGAAACTGCCTTCAACTCCCCATCAGCGTCCTTGACGAACCTCCTCCGCAGAGGCCGATCTTGACACTGCTTGTATTAATCATCTGCAAGTCCAATCAGCTCTCCACATCCTTCTGTACCACAGTCAGTCCATCTTTCTCTAGCTCGTGCCATGCCCACTTACACAGGTACACACACACGTAAGCAATCACTGGCACGTAATCGAAGGTCTACAGACGCCAGCAGTTCTGTATCCAGCAGCCATGGCGCTGGCTGTGTAGGAGGAGAAGCAGAGGTTGGCAAAGATATTAGTCCTTGACATTACACAGAAAATGACCATGGGTTATTTTTCACGGAGGTGGTAGAGAGCAAGGGATAAAGTGTGTCGAGTGAAAGGATGAGAGAGCGTGGGAGAGGTAGAAAGTGGGATCGCTGCAGAGAGAGCGAGTGACAAAGAGTGGGAGAGCAAGAGAGAGAGTGGGGTGTTGGTTCGTGATGATATTAAGATACTACAGCAGGAGAAACATCACTTGGAGCAGAATTGACCTACAAGAGGGGGGGGGGGTAAGGGGTTTATAGTGGGGGCGGGGGGTGTGGGAGACTGGTAGAGATTGAACAGTATGTTCCCGAGACATTGGACTTGCATTGGGGGGTGGCGGGGTTGGGTGTTGGGGGTGTAAGTTGGCTGAGATGGTGGGAAAGGGGATGGGCTGACAGAACAAGGTGGAAGCAAAGCTATACACACACACAGCGAGACACCGGGGCATGAGGAGGAAGATTTAGAGGCAGAGGCAGATAGTCTTTCATGTTGCCGAGTGTTAAAACAACACAATGTGGATTCAAATATGATCAAAATCCAACCTCATCTCAAGATTACTGTGCAAAAACAGTGGGTAAATGTATTTAATGGAATTAATATACCCCCAGACTACTATGGGGGCACCAGTAGAGGATAAACAATATCTCACCTCGGGGGGAAGGGGGTGGCGGATATTTAAGAGAAACCTTTGATTGCAGGTGCACGGAGTGCGTCGAGAGGAGTAGTGTAAGATGAGAGGGGTAGGTAGGAGAGTGTGTGGAATGGAGTAGAATGAGATGCGAGGGAGGGAGGTAGGCAGGGGTGGGGGTTCATGGGGGATCTTGAAGGTAGTGAGTGTAATGTTGAAATTGATCTGGGATCGTATTGAGAGCCAGTGGCAGGATGGAGTATTGGCATTAGAGAGGTATCGGGGATGTGTGTAGGGATGAGGGGAAAAGAGAGAATTCATATTCTTTGGGTCTTTCAGTAAAATCACGTACATAAGTTCAAAGAAGATTGCTCCGATTTGAACTAGATAATTAGGCAATGAGTCTCCTGAAATCACACTTAACATTGATGGAAAAAATGTCTACATCTGATTGGGAACATGTCGATAACATGACAGCCTCTTCAGCTGCCTCAATGTCAGCTAAATGCAAAGATAACCTGATTACCAAGTTCAACCTCCTTTCCAAGAAGAAGCCAGATCCACACGTAAAAAAAGTTAGACATTGACAAGAATGTTATCAATCAGAGTAACAGTCTAATTTCCGACAGCCTAAAATTGGTTCTAGCTAAAGGGCTGAATTTCGCAGTCACCCTGAAACACATCCCAGTTGATGATATCATTGCCCAGGTTGACGTAGCCCTTAAGGGTTTGGTACACATCACTGCAGATGTGGCAAGATCAGAAATCGCTGCAATCCTCAAAAACGATAAGACACATATTAGCAACATCAATAAGGATGAGCGCTTTGAGCTCTCTCAATTAAAAAAAGATAGATGACATCGTCATCCTCTCAGCCGACAAGGGCAATGCCACAGTCATCATGGACAAAACCACATACAATAACAAAATTCAGGACCTACTTAATGATGGTAGCTATACAAAAATTAAAAGAGATCCCACCAACAGCCTCGTTACGAAAACCAACAATATCATCACTGATTCGACATCTTTAATCGAACCAACCAAGAGGGATTTCCTTAAAACCCTTAAAACCCTCTGCTGCGAGACCACCCAGATTGTATGGCTTACCAAATACCCATAAAGAAGGTACACCCCTTCGTCCTATCGTCTCTACCATTGACTCACCCACCTACAAACTGGGCCGATTTCTGCCTGAGACCTTACAACCATTCACTGAGAAGACCACCTCAGCTGTACTTAACTCAGCTCACTTGGTATCGTTAATTAAGGACATCTCTCTATCTCCAGGTGATTTGCTCGTCAGTTTCGATGTGGTCTCTTTGTTTACCAAAGTTACTGTGCCTGACACCGTTGCGATCTTTGAAGACTTGGTCCAACAAGAACTGAATGCTGATGTACCGGCCCTGGTGAGACACTGCCTCACCAACACTTACTTCACCTGGAATGGAGCATTCTACCAACAAGTTGAAGGTACCCCAATGGGTTCTCCCTTATCTCCAGTTGTCACCAATGTTTTCATGGACAATTTTAAGACAGATGCCATCCAGGCATCCACTCTACATCCGTCCTTGTGGAAGAGGTACGTAGATGACACGTTCGTCATCTGGCCACATGGCCGACCAGCTCTGAACCAATTCCTCAACCACATCGACTCCATATACCCAGCCATCAAATTCACCATAGAGGTGGAAAAGGATGGCAAACTACCATTCTTGGATGTTTAAATCGAAAGGAGACCAGATGGCTCAATGGGACACTGTCTACAGGAAAGCCACCCATACGGATGCATATCTAAAACCTGACTCCCACCACCATCCTTACCAGAAGAATTCCCTCATCAAAACTCGACACCATAGAGATTGATGTATCTCCTACCATCACCTAGCCAATGAACTGAAACACGTACACCAAGCCCTCAAGACAAATGGATATTCAGACTACACAATCTGTAAAGCTATCACCCCAACCGTTGGGAAAGAAACATCTGAGAACCCAAACAAAAACATCACCTTGCCATACATAGCAGGGGTCACCAAAAATATCTCCAAAATCATGAGCCAACACAAGATCTAGGTTCGATTTAACACAGTACATAAATTTCGTGATCTGATCCCATCTGTGAAGGATGTGATCCCTGGCATGCAAAACCCCGGCATCTACAAACTAAGCTGTGTCTGCGGCAATAGTTACATGGGGGAAACTAAGCGACATGTCTCGGACCGTGTTCGTGAACATAAGGCAGACCTGAAACACGGTAGGACCAATACCTCGGCCGTGACTGACCATTGTTTTAATGCAGTGGGCTCACACGAAATTGATTTCCCTAAGACGAAGGTACTTTGCAAACCCACTGGCTATCAACAAAGATTAGTTCATGAAGCCATCCACATATACAGACACAACTTCAATCGAGAAGATGGGTATAAACTGAGTAATCATTGGAAGGACATCAACCAGTTTAAATCATAACTGGCTGAGACGTTCCCATCCTACCACCTTCCGATGTTAGTTGTTATTTTCGTCTCTCTGATTTAACATGAACAGGTAAAATGTCCCACACTACCAGCCACCGAGCTCGCCGAGCTCGACGTTGCTGCTCTGCGATCTGCCATTAACATGCTCATCTCTCACATTAACATCGCCACCTCCGCGCCCTTGTCGTGGCTTGTGTGGCGATTGAAACGTCGTAGATTTTTTATTTTTTTTATTTTCTTTGAACCTATCTACGTGACTTTACCGAAAGACCCAAATAATAGAGATAGCAATAGTCAGCTATAGAGAGCCGTTACAGAGTAGCAAAGAAGAAATAAGTGTTTATAGCAGAGTGAGAGGAAGGTAGAGAGGTGAAGACAGCGAGGGAGAAGGAGAGAGTGATAGAAAGTAGCAAGGTACTACAAGACAAAGGGAAGCAAGTTGCATGCGAGAGGCTGGAAGAAATACAGGTCTTAGCATGAGGCAAAGAAAAGTCCTTTTAGAACCCTTTCGGCTCGGCAGGGCAAACGTCACAACATCCTGCCGGGAAATGTCCCCAGAAGGTGACACCACAGCACTCCTTTTCGATTCAATTCAACATTAGCCTCTCTCAACCAACACAAGACGGAACTCATTCGCGCTCTGTAAAAAAAACTACATCAAGAGTGTTTGCCACGGAGCATTCATGCAACATGTCTAATGAATCTGCATTCTCAGAGCTGGGCTGGGCAAAAAGTTAGCACAATGGCAAATTAGACACGGGTTTTTTTTGTGCAGGCATCTGTGACTTGGGGCTGACACCATTGGCTCGCTCCACGTGAGAACCAGAGTTAATGGTGGCTGTCTGCAACCCGGATCCAAACCGAGGTCTCGGTGGTGTTGGCTCAGTGCTCTGACCTGGCCAATGAGAGCCCCTGAGTTACCCAGTCACATCTGTTACTACAGATCCTGCATGACCCTAGCTTTGTGTCTGTCTGTGTTTGTTCAATTGGAGGAAATCTCATTTTGCTCAGGCCACTGCTATTGCAATCAAAATAACAATAAACAACATCCTTGTGTCCATTCATTTGGATGGTGCAATCTCACAACATATGGGGGGCTGGGAGGGCGAATTAAATCTCGACATTGAAGCCAATGACCCAGGGATATGAGCTATGTCATGGCCAGTTGATTTTAACAAAACGAGCAGCGAAATATAAGAAAGGTGGGAGGAATGAGTCGAGGGAAGGGCCAGCTGCGCTAAAGGGGTTGGACAAAATGTACGACCCCTAGCCTGGATGAACTTGCTGCTGCTTCTCTTTATACCTCAGTCATGTGGAGTGCTCTTGCCAACATCTTGCAAGCCCAGCAGTATTATTTCAACAAATCTGACTCTGCTAATGAGACACAGAAGGTCAAAACCAGTCCAGTTTTCCTGTTGAAGCAAGTGCCGCTGAATGACGTTAGTTCGGAATGCAAATAAACTGATGGCCTAATATATTTATTGTTAACGCAGAGAGACAAAAGGAAGTAATTTTATTTTTGCTTACCCATGAAGGCAATGGCTTTCAGAGGCATTCATCTAGCAATAGATATATAATGACTGCTGCAAAACCAGCATATAAGATCTTGTCTCTTAGATTTCTCTTCACTTGATATTGTAAATTTGGCTATGACGGTCCCACCTGCCCACCTGAAACGTCGTGATTTAATTTAGTTATTTTCATTTATTATTATTTATTATTATTATTTTTTTACCTACGTGACTTTACCGAAAAAACCTAAGAGCACACATGATAAGCTCATCGAAGTGGCTGACACTATCACGTGTGAATTTGTAGTAGCAGCCAAATAATGTAAACACATGTTTCTAAATGTAGAGGGCAATACCGGAGGGCCACGGAGAAAAATACGCAGGGCCACGGGGAGAGAGAGAACACGCAAACTCCAAATACACAGGCTTCAGGGTCAGGATCGAACCAACGGCCTCCTGCATATCAGGCGAGGGAGAAAACATCTCTTCACCACAGCGGCATAATGAGTTCTTATATAATACAGATGAGATGCGATATTAGATTCATGAGAACCTCAGGGATTATCTGTACCAGAGTTTGATGTTTGTGAAAATGTTTGTGATGTCCCGGGGTAGAAAATGGATGAGTCAGCAAAACAAGTACAAAGGAAGCCTGCAATGTTTTTTTATATACATAGTCTCAATATTTTATTTTGCAATTATTTTTGGATTGTATCATAACTTGTTTCAAGTGGTGTTTTTTGTGCATGGAATTGTTCGTGTATCTGAGAGATGAAGCGAAGAAATTAGCTTTGTGAAGCGGTGGGCCCAAAAGGGTATCAGATATCACCTGCCATTGATGTTAATCATGGCCGTGTACCAAACTCAGGTCACTCGGTTCGTGAACCACTATACCACTGATACACCCCCAATGGGCTCATCATCATACATCATCTATCTGCTACTGGATGAAAGCCTCTCCCAAAGCTCTGAAAATTTCTGTAACAATCCACTTAACGTGAAAATATTTCCGGGTCACCAGCCCAGACAAACTCGGCTGAAATGAATCCCTGCTTCCACCTGCCTGCCTGTCTATCTATCTGTAGGTGGTGGGGAGGCTGTCGGCTGGGTTGGGTGCACGGGGTCGGCCGGCATGAGTGCGTAAGAAGTAGTAAAACTTGCCAGCACCTCTTACATTGACTGTGGCCTGGTAGCTGGCCTCGCCGTGCGCGTTGCGTGCGACGCAGCGGTATGTCCCACTGTCCGTGACGCGCGCCATGCTCACGTTCACATGGCTCATGACCAGGGCCACGTCGGCCACATCGCCCACAACGCCCACTGCGGGGTGGGCGGGACGGATTGGGAGGGGGTATGGGGGGTGCGGGGGGTGTGGAGGGCAAGGAGTAAAAAGAAGAGGAGGTCAGGGTTTGGACAGATATCACACAGACAAGCAGGATGCACAGGTGTATGCGTGTGCACATGCACGCACACAGGCATGCACAGGGAGGAAAGCTTGGGTGGACACACGCACACATACACACTAATATGCATAGACAAAAATATACAAGTAGGCAGTCTTCAGCACACAGGCAAACATACACGCTGATGCGCACACCAGCATGCATGCAGAATCAGAATTGTGCAAACAGAGCTGTTGGTGCAAGTGCTGCTAGCGAGCATCAATGAAAACCAGCGCGTGCCACACGAGGGTGTGGGTGGCCAGCTCCATGCCCAGCCACATTTATCCCTCCAATGCTGATGTTTGCATACCACATCAGGTACTCATTTAAGGCTGAGTTGACCTAGAGGCGACCACACAAACATGCATGGACAGACAGACTTGTGCACACGCACACACACGTGGACACAGACAGGCACACAGAGGTAGGCAAACTTCAGAACACACGGATGGGCACGGATGGGCATTTGTGCTCTTAACAGTCAGGCAATGGCACAAATACACAGGCATGCGTGCAATTCACACAGACATGCATGGGCTTACAAAGTCAGAGAAGGACATACGCAGGCACAGTGGGCATTCAACTTGCATGGACATGCAGGCCTGTATGGGCAGACAGGCCTGGGCAGACATCAGTGAAGGCATTGGGTACAGACCACAACAAACACAAAGAGGCTCGCGATCACCTATTAGGGTCTGCATGGCACATGATGGGGTGTGGCTAGTACCACGGCTGATCGTCTTTGTCTCCGCAAATCTCGATGCTCATAAACTGCTCCAGGCACTCATCTGAAGCTGTGTCAACCTAGGGAAGGCCCAGGATCGGTTCTGATATAATTCGCCACTGATGTTAGCCATGGGTGGGAATCGAACTCGATAAGCTGGGTTTGTACTGCGGTGCACAAACCATGAAGCCACCACTCCCCAAGCAGACGACCAACAACAATGGTCGTCATTCGCCAATAGGTGGTGGTGACGTCACCACGGCGCTTGTGCCAGGCCAGGTGCACTCCGAGGCCATGTGAAGTGTCGAAGGCTCGCTGACAGGAGGTTATGGGACAAACCCAGATGCCATGGGTTGATGACTGAGATGACTGGCAGATGCACCAACTGTGCCCCCTACTGTGCAAATTTTATGCATTTTAGCCACCCAGCGCTCTGCTCGTTGTTTTGAGCATCACTCCTGTGTTCTCTGCTGTTGTTGGAGGGCAACTGCCTCCAACTGGCCAGTAGCGTCCTTCACGTGCCGTCTTCATCGAGGCTGATCTTGACACTATTGCTACCAGTCTTCGGCAAGTCCACTGAGCTCCACAGACATCTGTACCGCATCAGGCCATCTCTTCTCCAGCCCGTGCCGTGCCAGTTTAACCCCCTCGATCTGGCCAAACAAAAGCTGCTTGGACAAGCAGGATACTTGACCCAGCCATTGCAGCCTTGCCTGCCAGAGGAGCTCCCTGATGGAAATGTGCACGGATCTTTTAAAGGAATTATGATCTCCTCACACAATACAGCCTGGTTAAACCCAGGATGGGTCGTAGGCAGGCCAGCCTAAATGTTTCAAACCAGCCCAGATGTTCCATTAGAGGGTTCCCCATTTCGCAAGCAAAGAGTAGGGAAGGCAAGACTGTGGCCGAGAAGACCCAGACCAGGTAGCTTCCACACAACGTTTTGCACCTGCCAAAACAATAATTCCACTTGGCTGATTCGGAATGAGACCTCTCCTACCAAACTGGAATTGGGCCATAAGCACACTGCCCATGTACAGAAACGTCTCCATTCTCTCCACAATTGCCCCATCACTCACGGGGAAGTTGAAGGGGTGGAGTATTGGATGACACAAAATACTCAGGCAGGTGCTTAGTTTTAGTGGGGCTGATGGTAAAACACCACCTCTAATTAGTGGCATACTTCAGACTCAGCAGCAAAACCTGCAACTCCTTCTCAGTGAGCAGCACCCACCAGATCATCAGTGTCCATAACATGGTTGACCAATAGGGAACTAGGCCTTGACCGCACCCAGGCATCGATCAGCTTCCCATTGTATCTATACCAGTCATGAAAAGCTTGTCGAAATGTTAAATAATGTGGGAGCCAGAGGACATCCCTGTCGCACCCAACATGAACAGGGAGTGGCTCTGACTCCTGGCCACGCAACTTCACCCAGGTCTGCCCACCATCATAAAGGTCCTTAATGATTGTGAACATAGTCAAGGACCCTAAAAGCACGAGGAACCACCCAGAGCCCTGGTCTTCTTAAAAGGGGAACCACCTCCGATTACCACGGTTGGCTACGTACGGTGCGAAATAAGTTTAACTTATATACACCTGGGCATCCTTCCAATCCTGCGGAACCTATCCTGTGGTTCAGACAGTTGTGATTATGTCATATAGGGCAGTCTGCACAAATACGCCACCCTTCCTCAGCAGTTCACTTGGGAGATCATATCTGCCCGGCGATTTTCCTGGTCTCAGACTCCGGATCGCCCCTCTTACTTCCTTAACAGATGGCACCTCAGGCAGCCACTTACAGGGGTGGTGACTTCTGCCAATATCTGAAGCATGGCGGCCCCAGCAATGAAGATTGTCCCCACCTGACCCCATGATGTTATGTGGGCTAAGGTAATTCCCCTCACCAAGACCTCAGAGAAATGGTCTGCAATTCTGCAAGCCTGTTCCTGGGGGTCGACCAGACATGCAAACACACACAGGCACTCGCAGACACACAAAAACCTGCACGCAAGTTTACCCATGGACACGCAGGACATGCACAGACACGCATCTTACTACACCCATGTGCACATCCACACGTGCTATGTGTGCATGTACATGCATGGAGGAGTGTCGTGGTGAGTGCACTGCACTACAAACCTGGCGAACTGATTTAGCTTCCCACCCACGGTCAACATCAGTGAGGAATAACAGAACCCATCCTGGAACTGCTTTAGGTCGACTCAGCCTTAAATGAATAACTGGAGTAGTATATAGTATAACTTCAGTACTGGGCAGTTAAAGGTGGTCAGGTGTGGTCCTGGACATACCACCAGCTAGAGCGCCGTGCCAGCCTTCAACTGTGCTCACTAACAAAAACTTGCCAAATCAGCCTACGTGGCTACTCGGGGAATCTTTGTCCTTGTCCGTGCCTACGAGCGCTCTCACCGGCGGGCGAAGTGGCGAGCGTGAGACGGGGGGCGTCCGAGGGGAGGGGCTCCCCGTCAAGCTGCCAGGAGAGGGTGGGCGCGGGGTTCCCGCGTGCCGTGCACACCAATGAGAACGCTTCGCCCGGACTCACCACACGCTCCCTGAACGACGCCACGATCTTCGGAGTCCCGTCTGGATAGAGTGAGAGACACAGAGAGGCAGTCAGTCGACGCAATGCCCGATCAACAAATACGAAGGAGACATCACAGCGATACACTCCGCTACTTCTAACGCGATTATATGCCTTGACCACCTGAATGTGAAATTGTAGTTGTCGCTCTGCATCTACATCAGCGGCCATATGGAAGAAGCCGTCATAGGCAGGGGAGAAAAGGAGAGTCTTGAGTCTGGACTTGTACGGACACGGGACGGAGCACAGAGATCCACAGACACAGGCTCAGAGAACACCTGCGGCGGCGCGAGCTGCACTGGTGTTGCGCGTGTCGCACCTTCGAGTGCGAGTAGGGCGTAGTCCTGCTGCGAGTCGTGCGGTGTCACGGCGAAGCACTGGTACGCGCCGGCGTGCGCGCGCGTCACACTTGTCAGCACCAGCGTCTGGTTGTGGCTCCCCTGCAGGTGGTATGCACGCACAGGTTCGCAGCCACGTGGGTACGCATGCACGCGTGCACAACAAGGTAAGGCACACATGGGGGTATCCATACGAGTATGCACGTGCGCACGCACGCTATTACACACACACAGCACGCGGATACGCATGCACGTGTACCCACACCGATACGCAAGCAAGCACAAACGCGGGTACACATGCACACACATGTGTACACACACGGGCAAGTATTGGCTGGTTTACTGAGTGACTGTTTTGCCAATATTGACTGACTGGATGAGCTAATTAGGCGAGTATCTGGCTTACCGATTGACCAACTAACCAGATAACTGGCTGATATACTGACTGTTTGGTGAATGTCTGGCTGTCTGGTGGACAGACCAATCAGACGGGTGTCTGCACGAGAGGCCGGAGTCAGACCGTTACCTGCACGCGAGCTCCTCCACCCTCCCGCAGGCGCTCCCCGTTGTGGTACCAGGTGATGCGGAACTCGGGCTCCCAGCCCGGATAACGCGGGGAGGACGAGTCCGACGCGGCGTATATGTCTACCACAGACAGCGGCACGGCACACAACACTCACTCACCACAAAACTCATCACAACACTCGCATTAAACACTCAGAACGCCATTCACCATATCTGCACCAGAGAGCGGCATGGCTGGATGTTAAGGTAGGTGATTGTTGGGGGAGTTGGGTAACAAGGTGGGTGAGTGTTGGGGGAGTTGGGTGACAGGGTGGGTGAGTGTTGGGGGAGTTGGGTGACAAGGTGGGTGAGTGTTGGGGGAGTTGGGTGACAGGGTGGGTGAGTGTTGGGGGAGTTGGGTGACAAGGTGGGTGAGTGTTGGGGGAGTTGGGTGACAGGGTGGGTGAGTGTTGGGGGAGTTGGGTGACAAGGTGGGTGAGTGTTGGGGGAGTTGGGTGACAGGGTGGGTGAGTGTTGGGGGAGTTGGGTGACAAGGTGGGTGAGTGTTGGGGGAGTTGGGTGACAAGGTGGGTGAGTGTTGGGGGAGTTGGATGACAAGGTGGGTGAGTGTTGGGGGAGTTGTGTGACAGGGGAGGGTGAGTGTTGGGGGAGTTGGGTGACAAGGTGGGTGAGTGTTGGGGGAGTTGGGTGACAGGGTGGGTGAGTGTTGGGGGAGTTGGGTGACAAGGTGGGTGAGTGTTGGGGGAGTTGGGTGACAGGGGAGGGTGAGTGTTGGGGGAGTTGGATGACAGGGTGAGTGAGTGTTGGGGGAGTTGGGTGACAAGGTTGGTGAGTGTTGAGGGAGTTGGGTGACAGGGTGGGTGAGTGTTGGGGGAGTTGGGTGACAGGGTGAGTGAGTGTTGAGGGAGTTGGGTGACAGGGTGCGTGAGTGTTGGGGGAGTTGGGTGACAGGGTGGGTGAGTGTTGGGGCAGTTGGGTGACAGGGTGAGTGAGTGTTGAGGGAGTTGGGTGACAGGGTGGGTGAGTGTTGGGGAAGTTGAGTGTTCGGGTAGGTGAGTGTTGGGGGAGTTGAGTGTTCGGGTAGGTTGGTATGAGGGTCGGTGATTTTTGGAAGATTTGGAGGGCCCACCTCCAGCGCGAGCCCCCCCCGGCCGCACACGGTAGGAGCCCATGCCGAGCGCGGGGTCCGGCGAGAAGCGGACGCCGCCGCCCGACACAGTGCAGGTGAGCACCACGGAGCTGCCCGCGCTCGTGCGCACGTTCCGTGGAGACAGCGACACGCGCAGCGGCTCTGCGTGGGGCGACGCACGCATGCACACACGCACAGATAGCAGACACATGCACGCGTGCATCAGATACATACACACGCATCGTACACACACACGTACTCACAGAAACCAGGTACATTTGTATCATATATGCATGGAGACATAGAGGTGAATGCAGTCACATGCGAATGTATGCACGGAGACACTTTAACATATTATTTAATTTCTCCTATAACAGAACATTTAGGAAACAAAGTTGTTTTCAAAGCGTTCCTGGCAGTGAGTGCACGGCACTTTGGAGGGGCGGAGGGGGGGGGCGAGGGGAACTGGGTGGGGGGGGGCGGGGTGTGCTCCGGACTCACCAGTGACGGTGAGCCTGCCGGACGTGTGAGCGGCGCCCAGCTCATTCCACACCTCGCACGCATACGTGCCCGAGTCCCCCGGATGGGCGTTGTCGATCCGCAGCGCGGCCTGGTCCATACGGTAGCGGCCCTGACGATGGAACCAAAGAGGAGACAATGCGACCGTCGGCACCGCCGCAGCCGCCACCATCACCAGCACCTTCTCCACCGTCAACATCAACATCATCATCGACGACACTGGAAGCAACACCATCAACTTCACCATCATCATCATCAAAAACACCACCACTATCATCATCATCATCTTCAAGACTACCGCAAACAATTATTGCCATGAAGACCGCTGCTTCCACGAATACAAATACCACCATGAACAAAGATCCCGGTGTAGTCAACATAAACTGTGGTTAGCGATAACCTATTCTAAAATACTAAATTATAAAAAATATATATTTACCAGGTAAGGCCTACTGAGCTATACAGCTATTTTTCAGAAGCAACCTGGCCATAAAAAATAGCTCAACGAAGTGGCTTATCATGCCAAAATTTATAGCAGCCAAATACTCTAAACACATGTTTCTATTCAGGCTGATGTGACACACAAGAGGGTGTTGTGGTCCGAATTATGGCAGTTTGTGATTTGTTACATCCCAACTGATTTATGCAAATGTGTGCGCTCTATACAAAACAAAATGAACATGCCCCATGTATCCAGAAAAAAAACCTGATTAATTACAAAGACTTTCTTTCGGGATGGTTCTACACTGCTAAGCTTGCCCAATTCACTTTGAATGAGAGATTTCCACGTGGAAGGAAACCAGTATACTGAGAGAATACCCACCAAGCATACAAAAGAAAAACACTCAAAGGGCTGCAAATACTAATGAATAAACTCACCAGCTGCGTCATCATATCCTGGCAACCTCACTACCCGGCGATATTAGTAGTTTCACAAAATCTACGCGATCCACTAACCTCCGCTGCATTTGGGGCGTGCATTTTTCGATCTCGGAGGTAAAGTCACCAAATTTCTGGGAGACGCGACCGAGACATGGCGAGTTGGCATCCCTTCTCTCTGTCACCCCCTCTTCTCTCTCTCACTTATAAATCGATATATATTTCCAATTTAAATAGTTCTTGTTGTTTATCAGCCATATATATAAAACATTTCCCTGCCTTTGTTATACAAGGCAACCGCTGCAAACCCTCCCTTTCCATATAACTTGCTTGCTACCGTATCAGCCATTATGGGCAGAATAATCTGACTGAGCATGAGGCCAGTAAATATTAAACTTGGGACGTAATCTATGAACTTCACAACAACTGCTTTTAGACACCCGGGAGAGAGAGCCTTTCGGAGATTGTGCTGGCCGAACCATGCCGTTTGGTGGCTTTGCCCCGGGCAAGAGCGACTGCCCCACCTGTGTTTGCATGACGGCCTTGCCATCGCGCACCCAACGGTGTGTGGGCGGCGGGTGTGCCACGGCGCGACACGCCAGTTCCACCGACTGACCCGCCCACACCTGCGTGTGTCCCGGCATGGAGTCCAGGATGACGGGCGAGGCTCGTGCTGGCTCTGCACATGGACACGCACGGCACACGCACACACACACACCGCAAACGCATGCACAGGCACACACACGCACACGTACGAACGGGCACACATTATACAAAGATCCCCCGTGTAGCCTTAACAGACTGTTGGGGAAAGTGCTGGTAGCGAGCAGCACCTATGAAGGCCGGCACGGTACACGAGGGGGTCAGTGGCCAGCAAAACGCCTGACCACCTTTTTGTCCCCAGTGGTGATGTTTTTATACACCGCACCAAGTTCTTATTTGAGGCTGAGGCGACCTACAGGAAGCCCAGGACTGGTTCAGATAATGGCCACTGATGTTGGCCGTGAGTGTGAATTGAAATCGGGTCACCGGGTTCGTAGTGCAGCGCGCTAACCTCTAAATTACCGCTCCCCACGCATACTTCATATACATATACACATACTCACTTGTGCAAGCACACTTGTGCAAACGCAATTATGTTAGCAGGCACACACATGCACACAAAGACAAAGTATAGGCTTCAGTTCAAGTGCTGTATGAGACTCGAGTATGCTCTATGCGTACTCGCGAATATGCTCGAAAATAGACGTGAGGACACACTATACAATATTCACATACGTGTAGAAAATGTGCGTATAGTACCCAGTATGCGCGTACAGCACCCGTAAGCCACACTCGTTTACACACTCACAAGGACCGACATTCACATGCATTAAAACGCTCTCTCAATAACACACAGTTGGAGACCCATGCTCACTCAGAAAAGGAAAAGACCCCCGTATAGCCTTAACAGACTTTTGAGGCAAGTACTGTGAGGAAGCACCTATGAAGGCCGGCACAGCACAAAAAGGGGTGGGTGCCCAGCACCATGCCCAACTGCCTTTAATTCCCTAATGGCAATGTATACACACCGCACCAGGTACTCATTGGAGGCTGAGTCGACCTAGGGGAGACTCAGGACCAGTTCAGATAATCGCCACTGGTGTTGGCTGTGAGCAGGAATCAAACTCGAGTTGATGGAGTCGTAGTGCAGTGTGCTAACTGCTATACTACCACTCCCCACAACAAAGACAAAGATCCCCCATATAGCCTTAACAGACTGTAGGGGCAAGTGCTGTAGGCGAGCACCTATGAAGGCCGCAACGGTACACGAGGGGGTGGGTGGCCAGCACCACGCCCGACCGCCTTTGTCTCCCTAGTGGTGATGTTTACACACCGCACCAGGTACTCATTTGAGGCTGAGTCGACCTAGGGGAGGCCCAGGACCGGTTCAGATAATCGTCACTGGTGTTGACCGTGAGCGGGAATCGAACTCGGGTGGCTGGGTTCGAAGCGTAGCGTGCTAACCACGACACCACCGCTCCCCATACTCTCCCCACAACACACACGCCAACCTGCACCCACATACAACGCTGTCAAGTTCCAGTTTTCCAATCGATATATTTGTTTCGAACAAGCACCATTTATTTCAAGCAAAAAGTTGTTTGGGGAAAAAATGATAGCACAAATGAAAACGAATGCATCTCTTGGTGAAGATCCGCTGCTCAATCTCGCCTGATCAACTTAACAACAATGCCTAAGATAATTGTGTTTTTACCCTTCTATCTGGCAACAAAACTGACACCTTTTTACAAGGAGTCATGTTTGCATAGACCGCAATACCTGCAGTCATAACTGCAGGTATTGCGGTCTATGCAGTCATAACTGCAGGTATTGCAGTCTATGCAAACATGACTCCTTGTAAAAAGGTGTCAGTTTTGTTGCCAGATAGAAGGGAAAAAAAAACAATTATCATATTTTTACTGGCAAATGAGGTTCCCATGGAACAATGCCTAACTCAGAGCACACAAAATCATCAGCGACCGAAAAGAGAAACATCTCCGTTTTGGAAAATGCTTCTTGACTTATTCCAATGAAAACAATCAAATCTCCTCCTTTTTGATGGAAACCTAGTGACACGCACGCAGACACAAACACACACGCATATTTCTCCCACAGAGTCTTAGAAGTCAGATTAACATCTTGACTAAATGTCTAATACACATCGCCTTGGCAATTTATCCAGTGTTGTCAAAAGAGGCATTGTGGTGTTTTTGGCAAAAATCAAATGAAGATAATCGCTCAACCACACATTAATCTAGTCCTCGGTTCAATCTTAACTTTAGAGCTTTCGTGACTGCAGGAATTATTCTTTGGTCCTCTCGGTAAAGTCACGTATAAAGAAAAAATAATTTTAAAAAATTTCTTTATACGTGACTTTACCGAAAGAACCAAAGAATAATTCCTGCAGTCACGAAAGCTCTAAAGTTAAGATTGAACCACTTCTACGGGGAAGGTCCAAGTTTACCTTTTTCTCTCTCTCTGGGTTTTTTATTCTCTCTCTCTCTGCCTGTTTATTTAGTGTAATTTTTTCTGTCTACACTCGTTTTTTGTCGTTCTTATGTTCTGCTCTGTCTGTGCGTCTCAGTTCCTCTTGTTTTTATGTTTTGTCTTTCTTTGAAATTTTAACACTTAAATTCTAACTTAGCAATCTTTGAAATACGTAATCGACCAGGCTATGCGTTAATTGTGTGTTGACCGACTCTCTGTGTCGTTTTACATAACATTTCGATACTTTGCTGGGTTATTTAATTTTAGTGTCTCTTTCTCCCCCTAAGCCTGCTCACTCCTTTTTGTACTCATTGACATGTAAATTTTGTCTCTAACCCCTCCCTCTCGCTGCCTCCGCCCCCCCTCTGTCTATTTAAGGCCACCCCACAGAGACGATCACCCCTCTCTGTACCTGTGTTGCCCGCTCTGTGTATCTTGGTGATATCTGTCTGCTTATATGTCTGTCTATATTTTTTTCTGGTTAGATTTTATGTCGCTATTTCATTATACCTGATGATGATTGATTGTGTTGCAATCGAAACGTCGTATGCTATTATTTAATTTATTATTTTTTCTTTATACGTGACTTTACCGAAAGAACCAAAGAATAACTAGTCCTCGGTGTCTGATTTGTGTATCGATAGTAACTGCATTTCTACAACTTTTTGTAAAAAAATACAAATTGACAGAAATTTTTCTAAGCATAAACGTGGCCATTGTCTCCCTCATAGTCACCCTGTTAATATTTAACCTTCTCTCGAGGTTCAGTGGTGGATCGGTGGTTAAAGTAGTGTGCTATGAACCCGGCGACCCGGTTTCCAATTTTCAGCCACAGCTAACATCGGTGAAGAGTTATTTCTGAACTGGTCCACACTGACCAGTGTGATGAAATATGGTCAAATCAACCAGCAGTGGATTAAAAAAATGGCCGTACATTACATTCAATCCCGTGACGTATTCCTCTGTCGATCTAACTCACCAACCTATTCTCTCCTCTTTCATTCTCTCACTGTAGCTCTTCCTCCCGCTCTTTCACACTCTTTCCCCTGGAACTTGATCCGCCTCTTGTTCACTCAACCTCTCAGATGTATTCTCTCTTCCTTTGATCAGCTCTCGTCCGCTCCCCCTTCATTTACTTATTTACGTGTGTCCTTTCCCCCACATTGATTCCACCTGCACTATCAGCGTCGCGTCACGAGACAAAGAATCCGGGAGGATCTCCCGCAGAGCAGTTTCAACCCTTTCACGTTAGAGAACAACGCACGGACATCAATATTGTCGAACTACTTCTCAGCCACTTTGATATCTGGTCCACACAGTAGGGGGCAGCCACTTCCCCACCCTTCACTGCCGCAGAGAATAATGATAACTAGTCAAAGCAATGCCTTTAATTTAGCCAAATTAATTGCGAAACCAAACTTAATGGAATGGGACTTTTCTGAACACTCGCTGGTGAATGTTCAGAATAAATGCAGTCACAGGTTACCGCATTGATTCGAAGTCAGGATATCAGCAGTGCCAGCTCGGTTTAACACGTAGGCTTTCGCGACCAATATTATCCAAAATAATACAAAAAATTGTAGTTAGATCATGTAAATATAAATGTGTCGTTGAAACCGCCACCACCCGACACAGCCAATTAGTGAGGTTTCTCACGAAAACAAAACGAGCCAATTTGTTACACTACACACAACGGCTCAGCACTCGTAATCGCAAAGCCACCAGATTCACCACCTTCAATTTCCCTTGCTCACGGTCTCTCTCCATATCTCTCCTTCTTGTTTACTCAGTTCTCTAAGCTCCTGACTTTCTCTCTCTCTACCACCCGCACTCTTCATCTCACAACCCCAGGGGGTTTGGGAGCCTCGTAAATCTCTGTGTGATCCACCAACCCTTGTCTCCAAAGGGAGAACACAGGCACCCCTGAGCAAACTGTCCCCGCCCGTGTGTGCGCATTCTCCCCGCGGTCGCCTGGATTCTCTCTCCGGGTCGCCCGGTTTTTCCCTCCACATTTGGAATCAACGCACATTTGGATTATTGGTCAATATCAATTTCCACGTGATAAGCGACTTCGTGAAGCTGTCATTTGTGGCCAGGTCGCTTCTGAAAAATAACTAATAGCTCAGTGGGCTTTACCTGGTAAACTAAATATTTTTTTTTATGATTTTCTTACCTTTACTATACTTTGCACTCCTATCATTATTTGTACTTTTTGTTGTTGTAACATTCTGACCCGCTCTTACTGGACATCTGTAAAAAATAACTTCATAGTTCATCGGATTTGTCCAGAATAAATAAAGATTCTGATTCTCTCACTCAAACACTCGCTCCATGAACTCGCTATCTTCCTTAAGTCCGTACCATTGAACTATTTTGATAATGTGCAGTACAGCCCGGTCTCATTCTACTGCTTGGTAAATCCATCCAAAATCGGCCAGTGTGCGACCTTGCCTTCCACATTTACGTATTCCTCGGACGAATTTTAACCCGCACGAGTCTTTGTGAAACCAACGGTAACTCCTTCGATAATAGTTTTTTGCTAGACACACGTGTAGGCCCCATACCAGCCGCCATCTCATTTAAACCGCACGTGGCACGTACACACGTGGGTGCAGGCGAAGTGCTCGCCTCCGTACGTACACGTACGCATGTGTGTGCCAGGTGCACGTGTACCCATGACGGCGAGTCGCGCCGAGTTGCTTGTGTGCGACTCCCCGGTGTAGCGGTGCCGCGTGGCGCAGCGGTACGTGTGCGCCTCGTCCTCCTTCTGCACATCGCTGATGTGGAGCACGCCAGCGCGCGTGATCAGGAACCGTCCGTCTGCACGCACACGTACGAGCACATTAACAAAGATCCCCCCCACGCCGTTTATGTATGTATGTGTATAATTATGTAGAATGTTGAACTTCTTTCGCACCGTACATAGTCAACCACACTAATCGGAGGTGTGGGATAAGGACAACAAACTAAAGACAAAAAGCAGTTCTAAAGAAATTAGTTTACAATATACATTTTAAAGTGCATAGCTCCAATGGCTTCCTAATATCGGACAAGCGTTCAAAACGGCCGCAGAAGCGCATCTGAAAGCGCGCGATGCAGTGACCATCTTTGATCCATGGTGAGCCAAATGCACCTCTTGAGGCCAAAATGGCACACGTGGAATACCAAAGACAGAATCGCAGAAGTGGCAATGCCACAGGGCAGTGCCACGGCCTAGCAGTAGCACGTCCACCGCTTGTTGCAAAGGTGCACAGTTCGATTCCAGTGGCCGCCCTTGTTAATACTGGGGGTGTAACAACCATAATAATGTGCCGTCTGCTTCGCAGTGGACGTTAAAGATTCAGTGATGTCGCTTGTAACAGTAGGCCATTGTGTGCCGGTGTCATGGTCCAAATATGCAAAATTTGACAAGTTCCCTGCAAATTACTTAATTGGAAGTAATCTAAGTAGCAATCATTGCCCCCAAGTGCGAAAACTTGACAGGACCCTCGAGTCATGAGACACAGTGAGGCTTCCCTGCGTAAATAGTAGCAATAATATCGCCAGCCTCCACCTGACATGCTTTAAGAGTCTGCATCATACTCCAACATCCAGAGAGCACTCGATCATTTCAGTCGGTTTGTTTGGTGTCTCTTGAGATCCTCATCCTTTCGAGGAGTCACACAAGCATTGTACGCCGTCCTCATCCATGCAGGTGAGTGAGCAGTAACTCACACAGTGGCCCAATTTGAAAATTAGCAACAAAATCGATGTTCAAGCAGTGCATTGGCAGCAGTGGACAGGGAGAAAGTTTACAGTGTTTTACTGCTTTCCTCATTGACAGACACACCACTTTGCAATGGTAAATCACATACAGGCTGAGGTTTCCCAACAATGGCACTTTGTTTGATAGCAACGTTCCTTCTATTTTGAGCGGTTTTGGCCATTACCCAAAAAAACTCACAAAGGAACTGGACAAAAAAATATCCCAAGCAGGACGCTCCGTAAAAAGAGTCTTGAGACTCAGTGAGTCTTTCCTGGGTAAATAAAAATATGCAATAATGGCCTGTTGTTACTATTTAATAGCAGGAGTACGGCTCTATTGTCAATCTACTGCTGGATGAAGGCCCACCTAGGAGGTTTATCTGAGCATACTTCACCATGTTGGTTAGGGCAGGTTGGTGAAGCCAGGGAGCATAAAAGCTTTGCCGATGGATTATGCGTAATTACGAGACTCAGATATTGAAATTAGGCTAGGGTTTGCCTGTTACAACAAACGCTGCTGCAAAACATTGGTCCAATGCATCTGAATATTATTTTTGGCATATAAACAGGCCAATGTGTGTTTTGTATTCAGCTTGAAATAAAAATTCAAGAGGCAACAGAGTGGATCAGAGGTCAGAGCGCTGAGCTGGTACTAATTATTAGATTCTGATTTCTAATCCGGTCACTTGCCCATGATTAAACGAAATCAGGATTGTCTTAAGTTCAGTGAGTTAATGGTTTCAGTCCAGTCACCAAGACCTGCTTAAAATGCCATCATTTTAAACGTGTATTTGCACTTAAAGCTGCTAAGTTCCAGCTTCGAGATTAAACAATCTCAGTTTTATTTCCGTTCATCTAATACAGTAATGCTCTCTGTCGCAGGGCAGGTGGGAAAGTGCTGCCCCCTAGTGTGAATAAGAGGTTATTTTAAGTTATCTCACAAGCAGTTCTGCGACATCTCCTTCTGCAGGCTGTTCTCGAAGCCTCTGGGGTGATTCACTGCTCTGCAAGAATTCTCATAAAAATCTTAATCTCGGGACATGACACCGATGTGCGAGCACACATAAAATTGGGGGGGGGGGGGGGGGGAAGAACAATAATACAAAAATATATATATAAGTTCAAAGGCTGTATTTATTAACGATGGCAAAGTATTTTTTATTTTTTCAGTCAGTGCAAACTACGCACATTCTTAATTTTTCAGTCAGTGCAAACTACGCACATTCTTAATTTTTCAGTCAGTGCTAACTACGCACATTCTTCGTGTGATCTTTTATTTATTTACTAGGACAAGCACATGGCACAGCCTGAACGTCTCACGGAACAGAATGGCACAAAGGCAGCAGCAGCAGGAACCCCTAAGCAGGGAGAGAGGAACGGGGGTTGCGGATGGACACAGGGCTTATCCCCGCTGTCTCCCACCCCCCCGTACCCTATGGCCCGGAATGGCAAATGCCATCGTGCCCTATGAATTAAGCCCCACACTCCCTCCACCATCACTACCACCACCGCCGCTCACCCACCCCAACCCTATCTCCCACAGTCTCCCCATCATCTTCCCCGTCCCGACGTGAACGGCGGCGGTGGCGGCAGGAGGGGGGGGGGGGCACGACCGGGTTTAGGGCTGTAATGGGTTCGGCATCGACAGCCGTCATGCGCGGTTCATCATAACGCTCCGCAAAATCTGGGTCAGCAACTGGCGAGAGGGAGAGGAGTGAAAGAGGGAAGGGCACAGCGAAACAGCGTTGTGCATGCAGGCACTTGTACGGACACGCGTGTGCAATATGTGTGCAAGCGCATGCACACATGGGGAGATGCGCACGCACGCGCATGCATGTGCATAACCATTTGCTTGTGAACGGACACGCGTGTGCATATGCGCACCCACACACATACAAGGCCGGGGTCATTATATGCGAATGCCTGCACGTGGATTCGTGCACGCATGTGCGCACATGCATATAAATAAATATCTTGTACATATGCACGAGCATCACTCGCTGTGCACGAGCAGATGCACGTACAAATTAGACGCGCTAAAATGTCTCCAAAAAAAACACGTGGATGTACAATATGCATGCATACATGCAGGCATTTAAATTCTAATATTTACCTGCAAGTGCACACACATGCATATTATGTGTTTAACGGTTATACATATATACACGTAGTCATATAAAACACATGAACTCACACACGATTGCACATCCAGGCAGTGTATGCATACACGGTACAAAGACAATGATCGCGACAAAAGATTCCCCGTATAGCCTCTAAGGACTGTTGTGGCAAGTGCTATTTAGCGAGCACTTAATGAAGGCCAGGACGGCACTGTCACAATGTGATGTGGGCAGAACGCCACTCGACCGCCTTTGTCTCCCCAGCACTGGAGTGACATCTACAAGGAAGCACCGGTTCTCACTGAAGGCTGAGTTGATGTAGGGGAAGCCCAGGACCGGTTCAGATATTGTTCAACCACTGATGTTAGCCATGGTCCGGTATTGAACTGCTCCCTACAAACAGTATGCATATAAAACGTGGATGTCTACACACATGCACAGCATAACAATCACGCTAACCATATTACGATCCATGCACACACACACGCGCATATGCACACATAATTTGGATACGAGCATACCCATGAACACATAGACACGCATTCAATGAGCATGTGTACGCACGCACACACTAATAGAGAAATATAACAAAAACATCATTTCCCCCCTTTACGCCGAATAGTGTATCGGACTAGTGCTGTTAGCAAGCACATATTGCAGCTGGTACAACAGTGAGGACACGTGTGAATGGGTAGCCAGAACCACGCCTGCCCAGCCACCTTTGTCTCCCCACTGCTGCCGACAACGTGATCGCTACCCATGGTGCTTCCCATTTCAGACTGAGTCGACTTAGGTAAGGTCCAGGCCATGTAGACAAAGCTAAACTAACTTTTTCAGAAGCGACCTGGCCACAAATGATAGCTCACCGAAGTGGCTTATCACGTGAAAATGTATAGCAGCCGAATACTGTAGAAGCGTGTTTCTAAATGTAAAGGGGAAAACCGGAGGACCCGAAGAAAAAGCCACACGACCAATAGGAGAACATGCAAACTCAGGCGTCAGGGTCGGGATCGAACCCACAATCTCCTGTATACCAGGCAAGGGCGTGAACATCTAGCCACCACGAGGCCCCTTAACATGTTGCCAAAATGACACAAATACACATGTGTGCACGTGCAGAAAAACACAAAGAACCCCCGTATAGCCTGTAACACGGGGCAAGTGGTGTTAGCGAGCACCTATGAGGGCCGGCACGGCACACGAATTAGGGGATGGGTGGGCAACACCATGCCTGGCCGCCTTTGCCTTTCCAGTGCAGATACCTAAATACCGCACCAGGTACTCATTCAAGGCTGAGTCGACCTAGGGGAGACTTCGCACCGGTTCAAATATTCACCAGTTATTGGTCGTGAGTGAGAATCAAACTCAGATCGCCGAGTTTATAGGGCAGTGCGCTAACCACGACACTGCCGCTCCCCACAGAGTGCACGTGCACGCACACACACACACCACATACCCTAATCCACATGAGAACATTCTGTATTATGTATGATGTACATGCAATCTCCATTCCATAAATGTGTGCATACATACATTAAAGGTCATTTATTACACATTCAGAAAACACGGGGCGAGCACTAACAACGGAGCCTTCATCAAACATTATCTCTCAGGCAAGGGAGACCTGGGTAAACTGAGGTGAATTCAATAGCTGATCGATGGATCGATCTATAGATTCATATTGATTCTTAAGCCCACGATACGTGCATTGAATCTCGTATCCAAAAAGCAACTGCTTAAAATTCACATTTCTTGGATCTAAAAGGCCCACGTGATCCCTTCAACCACTAAATTCACCGCTATGTAAAAAAAAAATAAGATGTGTTTTAATCGAATCGTCACCAATTGGGCGGTGGTGGCTATGCATGCCGCCTGCAATCCAACACTGTAGAAACGAGGGTTGGTAGATCACACAAACGTTGCTCAACTCCCTTCCTGTAGGCGCCCAGATGCCAT